AACCTAGTAACCAGATGCAGCGAAGACCTAAACACCTTAAGATGCCTAACCGGCTCCAACTCTAAAAACACCCTCCTCTCACTCTATATATCACTAATTAGATCCAAACTAGACTATGGCAGGGCCATTTACGACACCCTTAACAACTCTCTCATTAACAAACTAGACTTAATCCAGTATCAGGCCCTAAAACTAATCACACGAACTCAACATGGCACCTCCTCCACCTCACTCCAGGCCTTAACAGGAGAAATGCCACTTAAACTACGTAGGGAACAACTTACCCTAAACTTCTGGGCCGCGTCCCAATCAAACCCTCTAATCGAAAACTTAATAAAAAAACAATATAAGCCCTAGAAACCAAGCCCTAGCCCGGACAAATCCACTACTTTCTCTTATTTCCCAAAGAATAACCAATTACCTAAATGAACACAAAATAAATAATCTTAAACAAAACAATAAATCATCCAATATCTTCACTCCAAAACTTAAAATACCAAAAATAGACACAACGCTAGCCGATACACTACATAAACAGACTGATCCTAACATCGCTAAAACCACCACACTAGCATACATACACATAAATTGGCCAAATTGGTGTCACATACACACAAATGGATCCTCAGATCCGATCTCAAAACACACAGCTTTCGGAGTCCACATCGCATAACCAACCAAAAACACCCAATCTTACCGACTCCCAAACAACCAATCCATATTCACGGCCGAACCCATGGGCATGGCCTCAGCACTACACAATCAGCAATCTAAAAAACACCCAAAAATCCTCATCCTAACCGATTTCCTCAGTGGACTACAAGCCCTCAAAATAAAAACACTAAAAACCGCCCCAAACTAATAAATCAAATACTCAAAAGCTCAAACAACTTAACTAAGGCAGGTAAACAAATAGAGTTCATTTGGATCCCCGCCCACGTAGGAATCTTTGGAAATGAAAACGCAGATAAAGTAGCAACATTATCCCTTAAACTCCCAGAAAAAAGCTTAAACTTACCCAGCTCAAAATCAGAAATCAAAAGTGTCACTAAACAAAAAATCAACAAAAAAATGGCAAAATATATACCAAAACTCAAATCAGGAAAATACTCAAAAAAAACTAACTTAACCAAAAATACTATACCCATCCAAAAACATCGACAGAATAATTACTAAACTACAAACAGGCCACACCAAACTCAATAATCACCGTAAAATAGCTAATCTACACACAACAGGAAACTGCCCACATTGCAAACAACAAAAAACACCAGAACACGTACTCATTCACTGCACACACTACCAAACACACCGAACAACACTACAGACCACCCTAAATCTTAAAACCGCACTTACACTAGAATCAATCCTAAATCCACAAAATAAATTAGAAAAATTCAAAGCCTTAGGCATATACCTAATTAAAACAGGACTAATTAGTCGCATTTAAATTAAACCCAAATACAATATCAAAACCAAAACTACCTAATCTAACAACCACCCAACTCACACAGCTCCCTTAGTTCGTCCTCCACCCACTCTTGGCATTCATTCCAAATCTCAAAATTACTATATAAGCAGCCCCTAAAGCCCCCCTCCTGGGTTGCACAAACTTACTTTTCCCCTTTTCGGAAACACATTAAATGGCCTGGCCGGGCCCGTGTGCGACATACGCTTGCAGACGGAAAGCGCACATTAAATCTACAATATAAGTAAGTAAGTAAGTAATAAAACATTTTTTTCTCAGTTTGGTAAGATCGTGAGAATATCAACTGGCGCATGTGTTTGCCATGTGCAGCGGCCAGAAACTTCCGGTTACTGGTACTTCCATTTTCTAGCCGCTGCACATGGCAAACACGTGCGCCAGTTGATATTCTCACAATCTTACCAAACTGAGAAAAAAATGTTTTATTGACTGCACTGTATTTTTTATTTTAAACTCCCGGACGTTTCCGGACGTTATGGAATAGTATACAGAATGTGACACTATAAAAGAACATTATTTTTGTCCCATAAGCAAATTTACATTGTATCCTTCAAAACCTATATTACGAATACCTCCTCAGTTCGAATAAAATCAAATCGTATTTGCTTCGCAGATTCACAATTTGAAAAGAAAAGGGGTGTATGTATTTTTTTTCCAGCTATATGGTATTTTGTATAATTAATACAAGAACACAATTATATAGAATACACTTTATTATTTAGTATCATTCTCCCGAACGCTCCCGGACGTTTCCGGGCGCCGCCGGGCGTTATTTAGTAGGACCGGTGTTTGTTTCTCAACTGATCACTTAGATTGTTTCAGGTGTTTCACATAGGTGTCATGTCTCAAAGGTCGGCTAAGAAGGCCCACGTGACAACTATTTTCATAACTTCCACGGTTCCTAAAAAAGTCCATTGAGTTAGATAACAATGAGCAATCAATCAATATATTATCGGTTATCCCTTTGAACAAAGTATGTAGTTTTTACATCGGCACTTCAAACATGAGTGTATTCCCTTTGTTTTAGTAAACCTAGACATGTAAACACTCACTTTTGACATATCCACAAGATAACAGTGATTAATCAATCAATGTATTTCTGTTAGTCATTTGATGACTAGGAACGATCCGTTGATTTACAAAAAAGTAAATCAACTGATCATTCAGCTACCACTAATTATACCTGTAATAAATTCATTAACTGAGCATCAAGTGAATGACGACAAATACACACAAGTGTATGGTTATACGAGAAAACGTGGATGACAACAAGGAAGTAGTAATCGTATTATCGACGCAATCCGAAATCCGAAAATGATTTCACTGCAGGGATCCTCTTTTATTATTAAACCATAACAATCATTTAACTATTTCCAACTGACGACATCCGATGAGCTTCTTTTTTCTGTTTGTTTAGGCTGAAGAAATTAATTAACATGCGCCCTTTGTCGAAATCTTTATAGATTACGGTCAACCAATCAGTGTTCAAAAATGAGTAAAACAATTATTGCCTCCAAGTTTGTTCAGCTGTCCTTAAAGAGGGTAGTCCAGTCTCTTGTCACGCTCTGTTGCGTTGCGTATCATTAGGGTTCTCACGAGGAAAATACAATAACAAAGGCAACCACCAGTCCCGGGGAATTGCTTTAGATCAGTGCCCCTTTAATTATCAAAACAGATTTCAGTGATTTCCATTTCTTTTATTTTGAACATTGTATTTTGATGTGGAGTTGATGACATAATTTTACAGTGCCTGTTTCTCATACAATTTCTTGAAAACATTTCTCATTGGTCTCAGCTAAATATCTGACAAATACTTACATGTGTTGCTGTCAAAATTCATAACATTGAGGCTACGGGCAACTTTACGTTGCATAAGACCTTCACATTTCGCGTACCGCTGTACAAACTGAAATGCATGCATATGATGTAGCCTGGTGATGCTACAACATAGATATAGGAACGTATACAAAATCTACTTAATTTTTAAAAGTGTGATACATCATACATCAAGGGCAACACTTTCATTACCGATTGCAAAACGTCAACAAAGCGACCTGGAATGAACGATCAGCTGATCTCACCGCATCGCTTCGAACGCCTATCTAGTGGTTCATCCCTGATGTATCATTAAGTCAAGGAACATTTATTTCCGGCCATGACAATAGATAAATCTTTGTTTAGGCGAAAAGATATGCTGTCCAGGTGAAGCTTATACTAGTTAACTGTCTATAGGCGCCATAGTAACATGCAGTGCTCGTATCGGGTAACCACATGCGCCGTCAGTTTAAGGTTGGACCGTCCGGGTCAGCGCACCTAGCGGGTTAGATCGCCCATTAAGTTACGTGTGGATATGGTCTGAGTGATGTGAGGTGAAGCTATGTGCTGTGCACATACTGGTGTAAGGATCTGCTGATTGTGGTTTTGTGCCACTTTTGTTTGTTTTGGTACATCATTTAAGAATAACTTCCATATGATAAATACGTTATCCACAAATAACTTGTTGCTTTATATTTTGTGAGGAGTGTATGCATCTCATCATCAGAAATAAGTCACAGAAATGTAAACGAGTAGGAAACGGACAGAGTGCAAGAAACTGTTTCAGTACGTTACAAGTTAACCTCCGAATAATTACGTACGGAAGTAATGAGTAAAACGCGGAAGAAAACACAACAGGATGATATTATTTAATAATTTTATTAAAGCAGAGACGCAAAAGGAGATACAATGTCAATTTATCAGATGATACAGAAAATATAGGAACATCAAATCGTTAACTGTGAAAATATGACTATATGTTGTGTTGTTAACTGTGGAAATGTGACAATATGATGTGTCGTTGTTAACTCTGGAAATATGACAATATGTTGTGTCGCTGTTAACTGTGGAAATGTGACAATATGTTGTGTCGTTGTTAACTGTAAAAATGTGACAATATGTTGTGTCGTTGTTAACTGTGGAAATGTGACAATATGATGTGTCGTTGTTAACTCTGGAAATATGACAATATGTTGTGTCGCTGTTAACTGTGGAAATGTGACAATATGGTGTGTCGTTGTTAACTGTAAAAATGTGACAATATGTTGTGTCGTTGTTAACTGTGAAAATATGAAAAAATGTTGTGTCGTTGTTAACAGTGGAAATGTGAAAATATGTTGTGTCGTTGTTAACTGTGGAAATGTGACAATATGTTGTGTCGTTGTTAACTGTAAAAATGTGACAATATGTTGTGTCGTTGTTAACTGTAGAAATGTGACAATATGTTGTGTCGTTGTTATCTGTGGAAATGTGACAATATGTTGTGTCGTTGTTAACTGTAGAAATGTGACAATATGTTGTGTCGTTAACTGTAAAAATGAGACAATATGTTGTGTCGTTGTTAACTGTAAAAATGTGAAAATATGTTGTGTCGTTGTTAACTGTGAAAATGTGACAACATGTTGTGTCGTTAACTGTGGAAATGTGACAATATGTTGTGTCGTTGTTAACTGTGGAAATGTGACAATATGTTGTGTCGTTAACTGTAAAAATGTGACAATATGTTGTGTCGTTGTTAACTGTGAAAATGTGACAACATGTTGTGTCGTTAACTGTGGAAATGTGACAATATGTTGTGTCTTTAACTGTGAAAATGTGAAAATATGTTGTGTCGTTAACTGTGAAAATGTGACAACATGTTGTGTCGTTTACTGTGGAAATGTGACAATATGTTGTGTCGTTGTTAACTGTGGAAATGTGACAATATGTTGTGTCGTTGTTAACTGTGGAAATGTGTATTCTGTTGTGTGGTTAACTGTAAAAATGTGAAAATATGTTGTGTCGTTAACTATTAAAATGTGACAATATGTTGAGTTCTTGTTAATTGTGAAAATATGTTGTGTCGTTGTTAACTGTGGAAATGTGACAATTTGTTGTGTCGTTGTTAACTGTGGAAATGTGACAATATGTTGTGTCGTTGTTAACTGTGGAAATGCAAAAATAATACATCGAAAACGAAATAAAAGTTGTGCTGGAGATGTGCTGAAGTCGTTCGACCTTCAAAGAGTTGCTGAAAATGTATTACTGTTTCCCGGAGTACCGTCTTCTTTCCTCCCCGTCTTATAATAAAGGACACTGATTGTGTCTAAAATATGTTTCCATTGTTTTGTTTGAAAGTGGTCATTCATCAATTGAACAGGGGGATGTGTTCATGATCTGTTCGAATAATTGAGCCAATTTTCATCCTCTGACAGTTCGAAAATTACATTACAGTAAACTACGGTTATAACGAACTCAAAGGGACCACTTATTTTAGTTTGTAATAACCGTAGTTCGTTATAGGCATATATACAGCATTTATACAACAAATGGTCGGGACTAAAAAATAAGTTTGTTATATAGGTCAGTTCGTTATAAGCGTGTTCGTTATAAACGTACTTTACTGTACTTGACTCAAGGCCAACACATTATGTTCAACACAATGAATCCAAACGAGGCACAGTTAGAAAAGTTCAAACAGAGGAACAATAGTTACGCTTTAAAAGAGCTATGATGTGTATGGCAATGCACGTGCTTCTTTAATTGTTTTGTGAATAGTGGCATTGTCATACGAGTGTAATATGGACACAACTGCATTGCAATTGTGTCGGGTAATGAGGAAAAGAAAAGACAAAAATCCACATCTGGACCAGTTTCCTTATAGCTAGAAGTTCACATTGAGAATTGTTTGAAATATGAAGTTTCACCATGTGACCGGCGACTTCCTTGTAAATAATGTTTAATTCTGGTTATAGTCATTCAGCGAGAATAGTCAATTAATGTATGTACATGACCATAAACATATGTTTTCAGGTTTAAGGAACATTTTGAATGCTGAGTTAACATATCATCATTTCATCCATACAGAGATGTCGACTTAGATGACAACACAGAGTGGTAGAAGCAGCCTGACAGGTATGGGCACACTGATACAAACAAAGGATAAACGTGACGTCCTGTGTGAAAAAAGAATTATTATCCTGCAACATATCAGCTCCCCAATTACATCAACAAACCTGAAACCTTTCGTATACAACAGTAGGATATGCTTAACAGCTGATTTGACCTGCGCCGTCATTGAATAACGTATGACGTCACAGTCTTCTACAACAATCAAATACGGTATTCGTGTCGCCATGCATTCTAAATCATTGTGAGACTGAAAATATGCATAAACACATACTATCATCCATTATTTATTTGAATGAAATAAACATTTATACACAATTAAATGGATCCTTCCGCTAGATTTATATCAGCCTAGTGCATGTAAAAGGAACATCCTCGAAAAACTAGAAAGTTGTTCATAAACAAATCTTATTACCGTGTGTTCTGAAATAAAAGAGCAGGACTGATTCACAGTAAAACCCTTACCATACGGTTCCGACTATTTCATGAGCATGTGTTTATGTATCACTATCAAAATAATAATGACACCAGATGTACACGAAAAGATGAGCGCATACTGTCACGAACCATCCGTCACGAACACATGCAAAGGCAAGTCAATTGTTCATCTAAAACAACACACATAATTCATTCAGTTTCTGAACTGTAAAAATCCTACTTCATCAAAAGTATTTTTGAAATATAATTATTATCTAAATAAATCTTCGTCGTAGTATGTGTTTTGGGTCTACCTTTCACTCTGCTGTAACTGCTGCACAGGGAAGTTCAGGTCGGGGTTCGGCTTTGTTTTTATTCAAAACTGCATACAGCTCCTTGTCAACATCAGGCTCATCTGTCCCTGCAGGTGTGTCCACGCAACGATGTTCTGACAGTTAACCTAATTCAGGTTAAGCATGTTCACCCTGGCTTGCCCTCCAGGCATCTCAGGAGGACCAACATCTTTTAATGGGTGTTGTCGCCCTCCACAGATAGCTCACACAGTGTACATGATAATCAGGAGGAGTATCAGAAAGGAAATTCTGACAACAATGGTTGTAGCCTCAGCACTGAGGTTGGTGTCTGTACTTGCAGTGGTTGCAGATGTTTCAACACCGGAGGCACCTGGAGGATGTTTAATCGAACACATGGTAAGTCACAATAATTATAGTTATAATGTGCATATTTGTAAAACACCAAATCAACCCTCAATCAAGTTAACAGTCGCATTGCTATCTCATCATACAGTGAGGAGGGGGGCGGTCGAGTAGCCTAGTGGCTAAAGCGTTCGCTCGTCGAAGACCCGGGTTCAAACCCCGACATGGGTACAATGTGTGAGGCCCATTTCTGGTGTCCCCCGCCGTGATATTCCTGGAATATTGTTAAAAGCGGCGTGAAAAGATACTCACTCACCCACTCACTCATCCTACAGGGTAGCCATTCACTGATGAGTTAAGAGAGGTAACATTCTTCAACATCTCAGTCATACTATGACTGCAGTAGCTACAATACTTAATACAGGACAAGTAAGGAGAAGCATAATGGTATTATCACTCATCAAGTACAGCGATATCTGGAATAACATAAGGTTATCAGTGTGTTAAATGTGGATATAGTTTTACTTACGTTTGAGAAGGTGTTCTGCTCCATCACAAGAAACATCCCAGGTCCGAGTGCCACAGGTAAACCTAAGCTTCACATCAGCAAAGATTAGCTCTGTTACACTGACGGAAGTGACAAACACATCATCAGTTATGTCAGTGACAGTTGTATCCATCAGATTTCTTGCGGTGCGTCCGGTCAGAAGTTGAAGGTGGGTCACTTGAGAACAGTAATAGCCTGTAACCACTGTCCGCACAAGGACGTCATCGCCACTTAGACCACTGGTGTTCTGGTCTGATGTTATGTTACATGAAGGAGCCTCTGAAAGTCAACCACACACCTTAAAACCTATTCTTCGTGTTATAATCATAAAATAATGTGTGAAATATTAAACTTGATGCAGAAATGATAGGTATTCAGTGTTATTCCTTTTTTTCACATAAGGAAAAAGACATGTTACACAGAATGTACTTCATAAGTATTCTTCAGTGAAAATAACTAATTGCTACTTACTTGCAACAGTCATGTGACAAGTGTCATGGTTAGCTTGATTTGCATCTACACTACATGTCCATTTCCCACCATGTGACTGCAGCACAGTGGGTATAGACAGGACACTGCATGTGGTGTTGATGACAGATGCGCTGAAGTCACCAAGTTGTATACACTTTCCATCTGATAGGTCACACGAAGCAGCAGTATTTCCACGAGGTGTTGAGTAGGAATGGGCGTTACTGACATGCATAATATTACATGTCAGATTTGCAGGGGCGCCTAATTCGACGACTTCTTCACAGAAGAGATCAGCTGTAAATGTGACAATACAATGGCGTCAGTGATTTCGTCAGGAATACCTTGCAGGTCAAGTTTAGAAGTATGTATAATGTGAAAAAATGTAAGGAAGCAAGGAGCACCGTTATCAACAGTGACAGAGGAGTTACTTTCATCTGGAGTACAGGTGATTAGCTCTAAGATACTTGCCTTTAATGAACGGCATCCTCAAGCAGAATAGGAACAAGACAAGAACTATTGCTGCATGTGGACATGACCTTCTCACAAGTAGCAACTGAAAATATTGCACCAAGAAATGCTGCAATTATTATGCAGATATAAAACGAATTAACATCATAACAATCATTTGAAAAACCATTAAAGGTGTGTCGTGGAAGTGCAGTTTTCAATGTCTTAATAGTTTTTGGATTAAATAAGTAACAAATACAACTTACCATTCCTGTACGATAGTTGAATCTTCAGAGACACGTCATGATGCTGACAACCCGAACTCCGCATGTGTTGAATACGCGGGTTTCATCAAAGCATACATCAACAGAAACCATACTGAATATATATATTTGGAGCCTTGTGAAAGTGTGTTCAAAATAAGTCAGTTTCCTGCACTATTATTACCATCTAACAATGTCAGTTTGACTCAATACAAAATAACCCAATGCGTTGCTTCGTGATAAGTTTCCCGCTGGGTGCGAATGATAACACACTCCTCTGTTATATGCTACATGAGATGTCGGTTATGTTTTATTCATCTAAATGAGTCCACAGGAAATGGAAAATACTTTTTTAGCCTGGCAAATCCAACTTCCGTCATTATTACACTATTTGAATATATAAAAGAATACCTTCAGAATGAACGTGAAAAAACGTGGAGTCAGCAAGTTTAAAATGTTAGCCCCTTTTTTCTCTGGATATTGTTCAAGAGGGAATGTTCAAGTGCCATCACACTGACGAGCTTGGTAACCCGCTGTCTATATATTTTTTTACATATTCTTGTCTCTATACAATAAGATCTATCAAGACACCCATAAAACAACTTTACGTGTAGCAAGTACATTAACTTAATGTTGCATATTTTACAAGGCAAATGAGCATGAAATATGAAATTGCATATTCAGTATGTGTACAATATAAGAGAGACTACATTCCACATTCCATTGCACTTTTTTAAATCAGTGTGAAGACCCTGTAGCCAGTTTCCTGTGTGAAACTAAAACGTTGCTCTGGTGTTATTAAAGTGTCCGTTAAAATAATAAACAACAACAAAAACGTTCGCTTAACCGTAATAATCATTTTTATGACATGATGAACGAAAACGAACCTAGAAACATAATCGAGACGAACCGGGATCCGAACCCACAATTATAGGTTTCTTGATTTCCCGCCGAACCAGATATTCCAGTGACTCGATAACGCATGTACTGATTTTGTTGAAACAAATAAAAACATGTTTATTTTGAATTGCGTCTGCTGTGTACAAATGCAGAGATTCTGCTGCTTACAATTAAAAAAATCGTTTAAGAAATAAATAGAGGGGGATGGGATGGGGCGGGGGTAGGTTTTCTTTGGTAGTTGACTCAACATACATAACTCTACTGAATTTCATTACACCTCAACCCGACTTCCTTGTGTATACAGTCATGATGAGGGCATGAAGCTGAACCTAACACCAGCCTTCCGTGTCCACGGGAGATTTGCAAAACAATTTCCTTGTTGGACACATTAAGCAAGTAGCGAATTTGTTTCACAAATGGTAATCAAAGCTAGCTGCCCTGAAAGTGAAATATGAACTTCAGCAAGCAAAAAGTGGTTAAAACAATAATAATATAATGTTTTTATGTACTGTTTTCCACACGGTATAATGTATCATAGCAAACGGCTCAGACTAGTGTTGAGACGGGTTCTTATTATACTGTAATATATCCATGTCAAAGTGTTTTTGTCAATGCAACACAAGTGATACTAACTTCACCTTTTACGATTAGACTCTAACTTGAGGGAAACAAACCCAGAGCATAACTCTTGTGTGTGTTCTCCCTTCACAAACATGAAACCAGTTCCAGAACAATGTATAGGTACGAGTAAACTGCGCGTGAAATAGCAGCTATATCTCACTGTACTGTATCGCTCCTAATCTTATCAACACAAACTAAATAATATAACAGTACATTCATGATCAATTCCCTTAATTTGACAGCTGATGGGACCAATTGTATATTTTCAAAGTGTGTCACGAAGCATTTGTACTGCTGAATCTAAATGCTGTTATTGTGGTGGTGACAACAGTGCTCACTCACTCACAACAATGAAGGACACTAATTGTGTGTAAAATATATTTCCATTGCTTTTCCTTAAAGTGGACAGGCAACAACTGAACAGGAGATCGTGTTCATGTCGGGTGTTCGAATATCTGATCCAATCTTTTTCATTTCCTGGCAGTTCTAAATTACAATTACCGACTCCATGAAAGGCATCTGCACGGAGAGCTGAAGGTCGGGGGTTCGAAAGATAGTTAAAAGATGGTACTTGTTGTTACCCTGCCTGAAGCTCGGCATTAAGGGGCTGAAACAAGGACTGGTCGCCTCGGAGTAGTATGTGTTCAACACAATGAATCAAAACGAGAAACAGTAAGACATATCTACGCAGAAATATATTTACGACGAGAGATATAATGTGTATTGCATCATACATGCTTCTCCAATGGCATTGTAAATAAGTGACACCGTCAATAGTACAAGTGTTGTGTGGCACCGCTGCACTGCTACTATGTCGGGTAATGGGGAACGAAAGAATAAATACACACCCTCGAGCAGTTTCCCTGACAGTGATCCGTAGCTATAAATGTGACATTCAGGACTGTTTGAAATATATAGTTTCACCACGTGACCTGCGATTTCCTTGCAAACAATCTTTAATTATGGATTTTCATCATTCAGCGAGAATAATCATATAGTTTGTACATGTGCATGGAAATATATGTCATCCTATGTTTTTGGCTTCAACGAACAAGTTGACGATTTACTTATTACTGGGAATTTCACTAGACAACTTCGACTGATGCTTTTGATCAAAGTTGGTTTGGATGGTATTTTTATTATATCAGCGTGTGCATGTTTACAGCGTGCGTTAAAATTAATCGTCGCAACATCTTCATTTCATCCATATAGCGACGCCTGCTAATTAGGTGGCAAAAAATACCACAGATAATCCCAAGAATACGAATATACTGCTTCTGACACAGACATTAATATGACATCACAATTTCCTATTTTCTGAATACAGCATCCAAGTCATGCTGTTAAACCATGCTGTCAAAATCATTTCAGAGACATTCTGTGTGTAAGTTCAAATTTAACATTGTAAAAACAGCATCATTTCATTCACAGAGCGTTGTCAACTTAGATGACAACAGGAGTAGCAGAGGCAATCCTACGGCTATTGGCATTCTGCTACAAAAAGGAGCAACGTGATGTCCTGGCAGAAAAGAGATTCAGTTCAGTTTTAGATATTATCCTTCCAAGTATCAACTCCTCAATAACATCAACAAACCTGAAATCTTGAAACCTGAATTGAGATACGAAAGCTGATTTATTCCGTCAGAATGAAAATTCAGGGCGGGCGGGAGATTGGAAACTCAGAAAAAATACGGACAGCCTTAGTGGTACCCTATTATCAATAACGCCGCACTCAGCAATATTCCAGCTATATGTCGGCGGTCTGTATATAATCGAGTCTGGACCAGACAATTCAGTGATTAATATCATAAGCATCGATCCACGCAATTTGGATCGATGACATGCATCAACCAAGTCAGCGATCCTGACCACCCGATCCCGTTAGTCGCCTTTTCCGGCAAGCATGGGTTGCTGAAGACCTATTCTACCGTGGAATCTTCACGGGTCTCAAGGCGGATTTGCTGATTTTTTGGTGCCATGAATATCATTAGGGTGCTCTTATGCATGGAAATGAATACCGGAAATTGGTTTATCCTTCATCTTGATTGGCGCCGTGTTATTCCCTATTGTATATCAGTACTTCCTTTGTTGATACCACATATTCGATTTTGAGATGTCAGTAAATCGAATATGAGATATAACAAAATGAAGTTTTGATATTACAAAGTCGATGTTTGTTCATCGTTAACTAATTTTACACACACAAAAGCGAAACGTATTATTGGTATTAAGAAATCGAATTTGTGACATCAATAATGTACGTCTTGCAGGCATTTATTTTACGGATGCATTTTATTGTGCGGATGTTTGAGCAAAGACGAAAAGGTTTCAATACGTCGTGCCACGTTCTTTGAAGTGGTGAGGATTTTCTCTGAACATAATAAAAAGCGAATCAAGATAATATTTAAGATAATTGGAGACAAACTATCAAGTACAAAATACCTTTCTAAGTTCTATATAAACACACAGAGCAAACAAACTCATACTCTGTCAAAACTTGAACCCATAACGCGGCTCTAAAATCTACCCGGTTGGTCGCGGGGTAAGGGAGGTAACCATGTGGGCAAATTCCCTGTTTCCGGGGAAAATCCCCGTCGTTTCCGCATCACGAGCTCACGCGCTACTCCGGCAGGTGAATCATATATCATAATTTCTACATTCTGGTCGTTCTAAGGCACCAATATTTGGACTGTCAAACTCGTTTCGTCCAAAACATCGTGTGTAGCTTTTTAACTGTGTTATATGCATGTTTGTATGACGATAAGACCCAAGGTCAAACCACGCTGTCTGTACAGGACTGCATCAAGTACGTTATTATCGCCTCTCGTTGAAGTGCCTAATGAATACTACAGCCAGCTTGTGTTTTATTCATATACACTGTGTTCTTAGTGCAGACTAAACTACTCTCGAAATATACAGCCGCCCTACCTGAACATTGTCTTTCGCACATATTGAAAAGAGCCGCTGTAAAATCATAAGTGACGGGTAAGGGAGGCAATCAGCATTGTCTCCCTGCTTCCTATCGTTTCTTCTTGGTTACTGAATGACTTTGTTTTGTTGTTAACGTCGCACTCAGCAATATTCCAGCTATATGACGGCTGTCTGTAAATAATCGAGCCTAATCCAGACAATTCAGTGATTGATATCATGAGCATCGATCCACGCAGTTGGGATACGATGACATGCATTAAGCAAGTCGGCGGGCATCAAAGTAGGAATATTTTGTGCAAAAAATAAATGTTTATTTTCTTGATATGACGTCTCTTTATTCATGTATTAGGTACATCATGAAATCTACATATTATGTTTTCAAATAATTGTGTAAGTCACACAGATGAGGAGAATCACTATTATAAGTTAGTATCAGTCAATAGCATATATGAAACTGGGTACTGAAAATCAGATGGTTATAGATTATGTATGAAATTAGGAGAAATTATTCTGTTGAATTAATAATTATGATTAATTCCAAACAATGAAAGGAAATGTTTGCACAATTTACGCATCGAATACCCTTAATCAACGAAGCGCAAACCTACCCTCAAGTACAGCTAAGAAATAATATTTATTTTAAAAGTGTCTTTTACAGATATTCCACAAGCGATTCGAAGGCAGAAGATGGAGATTCGACATTGCACAGGTAGCACACATGACGGCATTCAATACACACAGCATTCGTATAGGGAGTATTACGTGACGTCATACTTACAGAGGGTATTACGTGACGTCATACTTAGAGGTATTACTTGATGTCATATTATAGGGAGTATTACGTGATGTCATCAAATTCAGTATGACTGTAATTGATTTATTACCAACGCTTTGTCATAAATTGGAGAGATAACTATTATTATTGATTTTATGATGAAATGCTGTATTTACATGAAAACATATGATCGATATTTCACTCCAGTGAAATAACACGTCTATTCACTTGAGTGAAATAACTCTTAATGCCGCATCTACTTTCGGCCTGCCTCAATGAAACTAAGGTTTTCAGCGAAACACCGTAAAGGTCTGAAGGAAAATACGTAATAAATAGAACATTTGTATTTTCTTGTGAAAAAAGATGAGCTGATGCTTGCAAAGAATAGACGAATGGTTCTCTCAAAATATGTGAACATGTAAAATCTTAATTTTGCTTTGTTTGCATTCAATTTTCAATGCAGTTTTCCGAATACAGCGTTCGTTCTCACACAATCCATAAGATGCAGATGTCATTTTCATAACGAGGATTTAGGGTAGATACAAGTTAGACATTTTTCAACTTCGTTTCCGTCATTATTTCTCAGTAATCGTTGCTCAAGACCTAAGTGCTTTGTGTATACTGTCTTCATTTGTCTGATATATCATGCAGATACTGACACTGTACAAATATGTATTAATCCCAACACATTCCATAATGGTCTAAAACTGTTATGTTTCAATCATTAGGATTAAATATACATACTAGAGTTAAATAATTAAGTTACGTGTGGATATGGTCTGAGTGATCTGAGGTGAAGCTATGTGCTGTGCACATAGTAGTGTAAGGATCTGCTGATTGTGCTTTTGTGCCACTTTTGTTTGTTTTGGTACATCATTTAAGAATAACTTCCATATGATAAATACGTTATCAACAAATAACTTGTGCTGCTTTATATTTTGTGAGGAGTCTATGTATCTCATCATCAGATATAAGTCACAGAAATGTAAACGAGTGGGAAACGGGCAGAGTTTCAGTACGTTACAAGTTAACCTCCGAATAATTACGTACGGAAATAATGAGTGAAACGCGACAAAAAACACAACAGGATGATATTATTTAATAATTTTATTAAAGCAGTGACTCAAAAGCAGATACAATGTCAATTTATCAGATGATACAGAACTATAGGAACATCAAGTCTTATATCTTATCTTATATTAAGAAAAGGAAAATACGAACTGTTTTGTTTTTGTCGCACCAATTTGAGGCTGGACAACCGGGTATAGGCATATATACAGCATTTATACAACAAACGGTCGGGACTTAAAAATAAATTCGTTATACAGGTCAGTTCGTTATAGGCGTGTTCGTTATAAACGTACTTTACTGTACTTGACTCAAGGCCAACACATTATGTTCAACACAATGAATCAAAACGAGGCACAGTTAGAAAAGTTCAAACAGAGGAACCATAGTTTCGCTTAAGAAGAGCTTTGATGTGTATGATAATACACATGCCTCTTTAATTGTTTTGTGAATAGTGGCATTGTCATACGAGTGTAATGTGGACACAACTGCATTGCAATTGTGTCGGGTAATTAGGAAAAGAAAAGACAAAAATGCACATCTGGATCAGTTTCCTTAACACTGATATAGCTAGAAGTTCACATTGAAAAATGTTTGAAATATGAAGTTTCACCATGTGACCGGCGACTTCCTTGTAAATAATGTTTAATTCTGGTTATAGTCATTCAGCGAGAATAGTCAACTAATGTATGAACATGACCATAAAAATATGTTTTCTGGTTTAAGGAACATTTTGAATCCTGAGTGAGTGAGTAAAAATTTAACATATCATCATTTCATCCATACAGAGATGTCTACTCAGATGGCAACAGAGAGTGGTAGAAGCAGCCTGACAGGTATGGACATACTGATACAAACAAAGGATAAACGTGACGTCCTGTGTGAAAAAAGAATTATTATCCTGCAACATATCAGCTCCCCAATTACATCAACAAACCTGAAACATTTCGTATACAACAGTAGGATATGCTTAACAGGTGATTGGACCTGCACCGTCATTGAATAACGTATGACGTAACAGTCTTCTACTACAATCAAATACGGTATTCGTGTCGCCATGCATTCTAAATCATTGTGAGACTGAAAATATACATAAACACATACTATCATCCATTATTTATTTGAATGAAATAAACATTTATACACACTTAAATGGATCCCTCCGCTAGATTTATATCAGCCTAGTGCATGTAAAAGGAACATCCTCGAAAAACTAGAAAGTTGTTCATAAACAAATCTTATTACCGTGTGTTCTTAAATTAAAGAGCAGGACTGATTCACAGTAAAACCCTTACCATACTATTCTGCCAATATCATGAGCATGTGTTTATGGATCACTATCAAAATAATAATGACACCAGATGTTGACGAAAAGATGAGCGCATACTGTCACGAACCATCCGTCACGAACACATGCAAAGGCAAGCCAGTTGTTCATCTAAAACAACACAGATAATTCATTCTGGTTCTGAAGTGTAAAAATCCAACTTCATCTAAAGTATTTTTGAAATATGATGATTATTTAAATAAATCTTCGTCGTAGTATGGGTTTTTGGTCTACCTTTCACTCTGCTGTAACTGCTGCACAGGGAATTTCAGGTCGGGATTCGGCTTTGTGTTTATTCAAAACTTCATACATTCAGGCTCATCTGTTCCCGCAGGTGTGTCCACGCAACGATGTTCTGCCTGATAACCTCATTCAGGTTCAACATGTTCACCCTGGCTTGCCTTGCTATTGGGGATAAAGCAGATGAATGTCCCCAGGCGGTTACGTCGTCCTCTGATGTCTTTTAATGAAGCGTAACCATATTCGTCAGGAAGATCAGGCATCTCAGGAGGACCAACATCTTTAACTGGGCGTTGTCGCCTCCGCAGATAGATGACAGTTGTCATGATAATCAGAAGGAGTATCAGAATGGGAATACTGACAACGATGGCTGTAGACTCAGGGCTGAGGTTGGTGTCTGTACTTGCAGTGGTTGCAGATGTTTCCGCATCGGAGGCACCTGGGGGATGTTAAATCGAGCACATGGTAAGTCACAATATATATAGTTATAATTTGCATATTTGTAATACAACAATTCAACCCCTTAAAGCATGCACAAAGTGCTACCTTATTTCTGGCCAATAGAGATTCCCGCCTGCCCTTAATTTTCATTCCGACGCGGCGGAATACATAAGCTTTTGTGTCTCAATTTTCCCCGCCACTAGGGAAAAGTATGGCCTGTTGTGATAAATAAAACACAACTACGATTGCATACTCATACTTGGTGAGGTTAACTTTTCTTCAACTGTGTAATAAAAAATCATTTTCGAAGCAAAGCGACACCATCTACGTCATATTTTTTAATTCTTATAACCGCCTGATATAGTTCCAAGAGTGGGGCGGTCGAGTAGCCTAGTGACTAAAGCGTTCGCTCGTCGAAGACCCGGGTTCGAACCCCGACGTGGGTACAATGTGTGAAGCCCATTTCTGGTGTCCCCCGCCGTGATATTGCTGGAACATTGTTAAAAGCGGCGTGAAACGATACTCACTCACCCACTCACTCATCCTACAGGGTACCCATTCACAGCTGAGTGAAGAGAGGTAACATTCTTCAACATCTCAGTCATACCATGACTGCAGTAGCTACAATACTTGATACAGGGCAAGTAGGGATAAGCGTAATGGAATACTCATCAAGTATAGAGATATCTGGACTTTGTAATAACATAAGGTTATCAGTGTGTTGAATGTGGATATAGTTTTACTTACGTTTGGGAAGGTGTTCTGCTCCATCACAAGAAACATCCCAGGTCCGAGTGCCACAGGTAAACCTAAGCTTCACATCAGCAATGGTTAGTTCTGTTACACTGACGGAAGTGACAAACACGTCATCAGTTATGTTAGTGACAGTTGTATCCATCGGATTTGTTGCGGTGCGTCCGGTCAGAAGTTGAAGGTGGTTCACTTGAGAACAGTAATAGCCTGTAGCCACCACTGCCAGCACAAGGACGTCATCGCCACTTAGACCACTGGTGATCTGGTCTGATGTTATGTTACATGATGGAACCTCTGAAAGTCAAACCACACACCTTAAAACCTATTCTTCGTGTTATAATCATAAATTAATGTGTGAAATATTAAACTTGATACAGAAATGATAGGTATTCAGTGTTATTCCTTTTTTTTCACATAAGGAAAAAGACATGTTACACAGAATGTACTTCATAAGTATTCTTCAGTGAAAATAACTAATTGCTACTTACTTGCAACAGTCATGTGACAAGTGTCATGGTTAGCTTGATTTGCATCTACACTACATGTCCATTTCCCACCATGTGACTGCAGCACACTGGGTATAGACAGGACACTGCATGTGGTGTTGATGACAGATGCGCTAAAGTCACCAAGTTGTATACACTTTCCATCTGATAGGTCACACGAAGCAGCAGTATGTCCATGAGGTGTTGAGTAGGAATGGGCGTTATTGACATGCATAATATTACATGTCAGATTTGCAGGGGCGCCTAATTCGACGACTTCTTCGCAGAAGAGATCAGCTGTAAATGTGACAATACAATGGCGTCAGTGATTTCGTCAGGTATACCTTGCAGGTCAAGTTTAGAAGTATGTATAATGTGAAAAAATGTAAGGAAGCAAGGAGCACCGTTATCAACAGTGACAGAGGGGTTACTTTCATCTGGAGTACAGGTGATAAGCTCGACGATACTTGCCTTTAATGAACGGCATCCTCAAGCAGAATAGGAACAAGACAGGAACTATTGCTGCATGTGGACACGACCTTCTCACTAGTAGCAACTGCAAATATTGCACCAAGAAATGCTGCAATTATTATGCAGATATAAAACGAATTAACATCATAACAATTATGTGAAAAACCATTAAAGGTGTGTCGTGGAAGTGCAGTTTTCAATGTCTTAATAGTTTTAGGATTTTCCTATACAGGAACAAATACAACTTACCATTCCTGTATGATAGTTGAATCTTCAGAGACACATCATGATGCTGACGACACGAACTCCGCATGTGTTGAATACGCGGGTTCCATCAAAGCATACATCAACAGAAACCATACTGAATATATTTGGAGCCTTGTGAAAGTGTGTTCAAAATAAGTCAGTTTCCTGCACTATTATTACCATCTAACAATGTCAGTTTGACTCAACACAAAATGACCCAATGCGTTGCTTCATGATAAGTTTCCCGCTGGGTGAGAATGATAACACACTCCTCTGTTATATGCTACATGAGATGTCGGTTATGTTTTATTCATCTAAATGGGTCAACAGGAAATGGAAAATACTTTTTTAGCCAGGCCAATCAACCTTCCGTCATTATTACACCATTTGAATATATAAATGAATACCTTCAGAATGAACAGAAAAAAACGTGGAGTCAGCAAGTTTTAAATGTTAGCCCCTTTTTTCTCTGAAAAGTGTTCAAGAGGGAATGTTCAAGTGCCATCATACTGACGAGCTTGGTAACCGGTTGTCTATATATTTTCACATATTCTTGTCTCTATAAAATAAGATCTATCAAGACACCCATAAAAATAGCTTTACGTGTAGCAAGTACATCAACTTAATGTTGCATATTTTACAAGGCAAATGAGCATGATATATGAAATTGCATATTCAGTGTGTGTACAATTAAAGAGTGACTACATTCCACATTCCATTGCACTTTTCAATCAGTGTCAAGATCAGTAGCCAGTTTCCTGTGTGAAACTAAAACGTTGCTCTGGTCTAATTAAAGAGTCCGTTAAAATAATAAACGACACCATAAACAACAAAAACGTTCGCTTAAACGTAATAATCATTTTTATGACATAATGAACGACAGCAGGTAGAATTACATGTGATGAGACACAAGGCACGAGACAGACTTGCGAAGGTTATGAGAATATATATAAACCAATACATTATACAATGCAGTGAGCAGGCAATGACAGTAGTGTCGGGACAACTTGAATCCAGTGTGTTAGGAGTGAGTGAGTTGGGTTTTAACAGTATTCCAGTTATATCGCGGCGTGTCAGCTTAATGTGGGAGGAAAACCCGAAGTGATGCAGGTCTTAGACGTTTACCACTTCGGTGAAACCGACGAGCACGGGTATGTTGCTGACAAACCTACATACATAATCGGGGCGAAACGGGATTCGAGCCCACAATCATGGGTTTCTGGCGTGTCGGGATTCAATTTCAATGTCTAGGCCAAAACATGTCTTTAGTAGTTGACTCAACATACATAACTCCTACTGAATATCATTACACCTCAACCCGACTTCCTTGTGTATACAGTAATGATGAGGGCATTTAGCTGAAACAACTGACACTAGCCTTCCGTGTCCACGGGAGATTTGCAAAACAATTTCCTTGTTGAACACATTAAGCAAGTAGCGAATTTGTTTCACAAATAGTAACCAAAGCTAGCTGCCCTGAAAGTGAAATATGAACTTCAACAAGCAATAAGTGGTTAAAACAATAATAATATAATGTTTTAGGTAACTGTTTTCCACAAGGTAAAATGTATCATAACAAACGGCTCAGGCTCGTGTTGAGACGGCTTCTGTTTAAATTATTGTACTGTATTATATCCATGTCAAAGTGTATTGTCAATGCAACACAAGTGATACTAACTTCACCTTCACCTCACATTAGGATTAGACACATTATGGGAAACAAACCCAGAGCATAACACTTGTGTGTGTTCTCCCTTCACAAACATGAAACCATTTCCAGGAAACTGCGCGTGAAATACCAGCTGTATCTCACTGTACTGTGTCGCTCCTAATCGTATCAACACAAACTCAATAATATGACAGTACATTCATGATCAATTCCCTTAATTTGACAGCTGAGGGGACCAATTGTATATTTTCAAAGTGTGTCACAAAGCAATTGTACTGCTGAATCTAAATGCTGTTATTGTGGTGGTGACAACAGTGCTCACTCACAACAATGAAGGACACTGATTGTGTGTAAAATATATTTCCATTGCTTTTCCTTAAAGTGGGCAGGCAACAACTGAACAGGAGATCGTGTTCATGTGGGTGCTCGAATATCTGATCCAATCTTCTCCATTTCCTGACAGATCTAAATTACAATTACCGACTCCATGAAAGGCATCTGCACGGAGAGCTGAAGGTCGGGGGCTCGAAAGATAGTTAAAAGATGGTACTTGTTGTTACCCTGCCTGAAGCTCGGCATTAAGGGGCTGAAACAAGGACTGGTCGCCTCGGAGTAGTATGTGTTCAACACAATGAATCAAAACGAGAAACAGTAAGACATATCTATGCAGAAATATATTTACGACGAGAGATATAATGTGTATTGCATCATACATGCTTCTTCAATGGCATTGTAAATAAGTGACACCGTCAATAGTACAAGTGTTATGTGGCACCGCTGCACTGCAACTGTGTCGGGTAATGGGGAACGAAAGAATAAATACACACAGTTTCCCTGACATTGATCTGTAGCTATAAATGTCACATTCAGGACTATTTGAAGTATATAGTTTCACCACGTGACTTGCGATTTCCTTGCAAATAATCTTTAATTATGGATTTTCATCATTCAGCGAGAATAATCATATAGTTTGTACATGTGCATGGACTTAATATATGTCATCCTATGTTTTCGGCTTCAACGAACAAGTTGACTATTTACTTATTACTGGGAATTTCACTAGACAACTTCGACTGATGCTTTTGATCAAAGTTGGTTTGGATGGTATTTTTATTATATCAGCGTGTGCATGTTTAAAGTGTACGTTAAAATTAATCGTTGCAACATCTTCATTTCATCCATATAGCGACGCCTGCTTAGGTGGCAAAAAACACCACAGACAATCCCAAGTGTTCTATACGGCTTCTGACACAGACATTGATATGACATCACAATTTTCCATTTTCTGAATACAGCATCCAAGTCATTGCTGTTAAACCATGCTGTCAAAATCATTTCAGAGACATTCTGTGAGTGAGTTCAAATTTAACATTGTAAAAACAGCATCATTTTATACACATAGCGTTGTCTACTTTCATGACAACAGGAGCAGCAGAGGCAATCCTACGGCTTTTGGCATTCTGCCTCAAATAGGACAACGTCATGATCTCCTGGCAGTAAAGAGATTCAGTTCAGTTTTAGATATTATCCTCCCAAGTATCAACTCCTCAATAACATCAACAAACCTGAAATCTTGAAACCTGAATTGAGATACAAAATCTTATTTATTCCGTCAGAATGAAAATTCAGGACGGGCGGGAGATTGGAAACTCAGAAAAAATACGGACAGCCTTGGTGGTACCCTATAATCAATAACGCCGCACTCAGCAATATTCCAGCTATATGTCGGCGGTCTGTAAATAATCGAGTCTGGACCAGACAATTCAGTTATTAATATCATAAGCATCGATCCACGCAATTTGGATCGATGACATGCATCAACCAAGTCAGCGGGCCTGACCACCCGATCCCGTTAGTCGCCTTTTCCGGCAAGCATGGGTTGCTGAAGACCTATTCAACCGTGGAATCTTCACGGGTCTCAAGGCGGATTTGCTGATTTTTTGGTGCCATGAATATCATTAGGGTGCTCTTATGCATGGAGTGAATACCGGAAATTGGTTTATCCTTCATCTTGATTGGCGCCGTGTTATTCCCTATTGTATATCAGTACTTCCTTTTTTGATACCACATATTCGATTTTGAGATGTCAGTAAATCGAATATGAGATATAACAAAATGAAGTTTTGATATTAAAAAAGTCGATGTTTGTTCATCATTAACTAATTTTACACACACAAAAGCGAAACCCATTATTGGTATCAAGAAATCGAATTTTTTACATCAATAATGTACGTCTGGCCGGCATTTATTTTACGGATGCATTTCATTGTGCGGGTGTTTGAGCAATAACGAAAAGGTTTCAATACGTCGTGCCACGTTCTTTGAAGTGGTGAGGATTTTCTCTGAACATAATAAAAAGCGAATCAAGATAATATTTCAGATAATTTGAGACAAACTATCTAGTACAAAATACCTTTCTAAGTTCTATATACACACACAGAGCAAACAAACTCATACTCTGTCAAAACTTGAACCCATAACGCGGCTCTAAAATCTACCCGGTTGGTCGCGGGGTAAGGGAGGTAACCATGTGGGCAAATTCCCTGTTTCCGGGGGAAATCCCCGTCGTTTCCACATCACGAGCTCACGCGCTGCTCCGGCAGGTGAATCATATATCATAATTTCTACATTCTGGTCGTTCTAAGGTACCAATATTTGGACTGTCAAACTCGTTTCGTCCAAAACATCGTATGTAGCTTTTTAACGGTGTTATATGCAACGACTATCATGTTTGTATGACGATAAGACCCAAGGTCAAACCACGCTGTCTGTACAGGACTGCATCAAGTACGTTATTATCGCCTCTCGTTGAAGTGCCTAATGAATACTACAGCCAGCTTGTGTTTTATTCATATACACTGTGCTCTTAGAGCAGACTAAACTACTCTCGAAATATACAGCCGCGCTACCTGAACATTGTCTTTCGTACATATTGAAAAGAGCCGCTGTAAAATCATAAGTGACGGGTGAGGGACGCGATCAGCATTGTCTTCCTGCTTCCTATCGTTTCTTATTGGTTACTGAGTGAGTGAGTGAGTATCGTTTTACGCCGCTTTTAGCAATATTCCAGCAACATCAGAAATGGGCTTCACACATTGTACCCATGTCGGGAATCGAAACCGGGTCTTCGGCGTGACGAGCGAACGCTTTAACCACTAGGCTACCCGACCGCCCAATTATTGGTTACTGAATGACTTTGTTTTGTTGTTAACGTCGCACTCAGCAATATTCCAGCTATATGACGGCTGTCTGTAAATAATCGAGCCTAATCCAGACAATTCAGTGATTGATATCATGAGCATCGATCCACGCAGTTGGGATACGATGACATGCATCAACCAAGTCGGCGGGCATCAAAGTAGGAATATTTTGTGCAAAAAATAAATGTTTATTTTCTTGATATGACGTCTCTTTATTCGTGTATTAGGTACATCATGAAATCTACATATTATGATTTCAAATAATTGTGTAAGTCACACAGATGAGGACCATCACTTAGTCTATTATAAGATCGTATCAGTCAATAGCATATAAGAAACTGGGTACTGAAAATCAGATGGTTATAGATTATGTATGAAATTAGGAGAAATTATTCTGTCGAATTAACAATTATGATTAATTCCAAACAATGAAAGGAAATGTTTGCACAATTTACGCATCGAATATCCTTAATCAATGTAGCGCAAACCTACCCTCAAGTACACCTAAGATATAATATTTATTATAAAAGTTTCTTTTACAGATATTCCACAAGCGATTCAAAGGCAGAAGATGGAGATTCGACATTGCACAGGTAGCACACATGACGGCAATCAATACACACAGCATTCGTATAGGGAGTATTACGTGACGTCATACTTACAGAGGGTATTACGTGACGTCATACTTACAGAGGTGTTACATGATGTATCACTCTCCTACCCAGAGTTCCTTGCGCCCGGCAGCCAGCCATCATAGTATGAAATAACACGTCTTTTCACTTGAGTGAAATAACTCTTAATGCCGGAACTACTTTCGGCCTGCCTCAATGAACCTAAGGTTTTCAGCGAAACACCGTAAAGCTCTGAAGGAACATACGTAATAAATAGAACATTTGTCTTTTCTTGTCAAATATTTATCTCACCTCGACATCGTATCCCAATTGCGTGGATCGATGCTCATGATGTCAATCACTGGATTGTCTGATCCAGACTCGATTATTTACAGACCGCCGTCATAAAGCTGGACTATTGCTCACTGCGGCGTTAAACAACAAACAAACAAACAAACAAACAAACAAACCTGGCAAAGCAACGCCACTTATGAACACATCAACTTTGTCAGATCACTCGATGAGATAAACTTCTTATCTGACAAGAAAATACAGAAAAAGTTTATGTATTTGTTTATTTACCTTGTCCACATGAATGTCAACAGTGACGGACTTGAACGTCGCATGGGGCACGGTGTTGGCCCAGTCGGCTGAGGCGCCGCAATTGGCTGTGCAGGGTTGCGACCCTTGAGCATACCAGAAACCTATGATCATGGGTTCGAATCCCTGATTATGTTTCTAGGTTTGTCAGCAACATACCCGTGCTCGTGGGTTTCACCAAAGTGGTAAACGTCTGAGACCTGCATCACTTCGGGCTTTCCTCCCACATTAAGCTGACACGCCGTGATATAACTGGAATACTGTGAAAAGCGGCGTTGAACCAACTCACTCATTAAAACGTCACAACTATTGGGACATCATCACGCATCACGTTGACAATGCTGTCTTGTTTATAGAGGGGAACACCATTATAACCTTTAGGCATACAGGTTAAGGAAATGCGACGTAAAGGAGCGTGTCTGCCACTAAATGCAATACCTCGATGCTTCAGTGATCAGTTTTTATTGTGTCTCAGGCGCTTACAAATTGAGAATGAACTAAGTTTGTGATGATACAGTGATCAGTTTTCTATTATGTCTCAGGCCCTTACAAATTGAGAATGAACTAATTTTGTGATGCTTCAGTGATCAGTTTTTATTGTGTCTCAGGCGCTTACAAATTGAGAATGAACTAATTTTGTGAATCGTCAGTGAACAGTTTTCTAATATGTCTCAGGCCCTTACAAATTGAGAATGAACTAATTTTGTGATGCGTCAGTGAACAGTTTTCTAATATGTCTCAGGCCCTTACAAATTGAGAATGAACTAATTTCCCTTGAGTCCTGTGTGACGCCAAAAATATGTCTGCTTGAAACATATTTTTTTCAAAATTGTTACATACAACTGGCATTTCTATTCAGGATCTATTCTAAAAATTCAAATCTACATCTGATATACGCAAATGGCTTCTGAGCATGTTCAGTAATAATGAGTGAGTGAGTATGGTTTTACGCCGCTTTTTTAGCAATATTCCAGCAATATCACGGCGGGGGACACCAGAAATGGGCTTCACACATTGTACCCATGTCGGGAATCGAACCCGGGTCTTCGGCGTGACGAGCGAACGCTTTAACCACTAGGCTACCTGTTCAGTAATATGACAATTCTTGAAAATTACCTGAAGCATGCCCCATATCGCCAGCCTGGGACCCCATTGTTTTGCGTGGGTCCCCCAAAATGTATTGCGAGTCTGCAGGACACGTAACGAGAAAGACTAGGTAAATACATATGTGATGACCGGTCATAAGGACGACATCAAACATCAAACTAACTGACAATTAAAGAACTACGCTGTGAAAGTGTGTTTCCGACACCATGTGTTTGCTTTGTTTGTTGTTTAACGCCGCAATCAGTAATATTCCAGCTATTTGAGGGCGGTCTGTAAATAAACGATTCTAAACCAGACAATCCAGTGATTTTCACCATGATCATCGATCCAAGCAATTGGTATATGATGACGTGCATCAACCAAGTCAGCGAGTCTGACCACCCGATCCCGTTAGTCCCCTCTTACAAGCATAGTCGCCTCTTACGGCAAGTACGGGTTGCGGAAGACCAATTCGAACCCGGATCTTCAAATGTTTTTGCAAGACTGACGAGTCCATCCAAGCCCTACCGGCCACGAGCTTAGCTTAAGACAACGAATCACAAGTCGTCAACTAATATAATACCGCAACCAACCATTTGAAGAAAGTTGTCAGATGCAGCAAACATGTCTAACATTTCTTCTTCTTTTTTCTTTCAGATCGACGTTTCGAAAATATTTGTGGTATGTACCATCTTCCAAAACTGGCTTCCACAGAATATTTCGCTCGGTTGAGTTCAAACATTGCTCAGGAGATACAGCTTCAGTGAAAGTGCATCACAATGCTTTGCACACCATAGCGATGTCATTCGTTACCAGTGAAAAAATTAAATTAAAGAAAATCATGATTTTGGGGGCTAATTAAATACAGCCTTTGACGGGTGCCCACCTAACAAGGAAATACCTGGAATACACCATCAACGGCTGTAACACCTGTTGATATGTTACTGTACGTCGATGATAAAATGTTGTAAAAGGAACCTGATAAACACACTTTCTTACTTCAATCTAGAAGGATTTTATGCTTTAATGCATCGAATGCCTTTAAAAAGTCGATAAAAAGACAATAAAAACCTTCCCTTCTTTTTACAAGAATATTTTGTAATTTTAAACTGAAGTGTAAAACTATGGTCAACGGTTGAGTAACAAGCTATTAAGCCAGCGGGGGCACGGGGGCCTAGTCGTCTAAAGCGCCGGGATTCGCTGTGCAGAGTTGCGTCCCTTGGACATGCAAGAAACCTATGATGGTGGGTTCGAATCCCGGTTCGCCCAAATTATGTTTCTAGGTTTGTCAGCACCATACCCGTGCTCGTGGGTTTCACCAAAGTGGTAAACGTCTGAGACTTGCATCACTTCGGGCTTTCCTCCCACATTAAGCTGACCACATCACGCCGTGATATAACTGGAATAATGTTAAAAACGGCGTTAAACCCAACTCACTCACTCACTATAAAGCCAGCCTCTGACTCATTAAGAATATTATTACTTTCACACCATTTATATAATCATTTGCTTAAAACAGATGTAACAATTTACATATAGAGTTTGATAAGGAAGTACCTCTGTCATTATTATTGTCTGATTTATGTTTATTTATGCTTTTACCCCATGAAGTGGACGAAATATCAGCAGTGAAATTTCTGTTGTACAATGTAGTGAATATAGCAGTTACCAACACAATAGAAGATATGATATACCATTAAATTCTAGAGTTTGTGGAACAGTTCTTTTTGTTCTGATCTGGATTGTCTGTCTACAATAGGGTGGCCATGTTGCGTATGCAGTAGACTGTCACTTGTGTGTTATGGAGACTGGAACTGTTCAAACCGTTGCCAACATGATATCTGTTTTGAAATACCTTCACCAAATATATTTTCCTAAATGATTCTCCAGAGGAGAAAAGGATCAGATCTAGCTGGTACTAATTTTTGCAATTTGAACGCATGGTTATCTTTTGGTGACCTGGGAATAACGTATGTGTCTCAAGGATAGACAGAAAATCTAAGTTAAAATCCTGCATGTAGGCAAGAAAGACTTTCATTGTAACATTTGACCTGTTATGATCCGGAGTAGAATAGGTCTCCAGCAACCCATGCTTGTAAAAGGCGACTATTCTTGTAGTAAGAGGCGACTTACGGAATCGGGTGGTCAGGCTCGCTGGCTTGGTTGATGAACTTCATCGATCCCAATTGCACATGTTTTCCATCTTGATCCCATGTAAACTCTTCCTACTTTCATCAGGTTGGCTGAACGTCCCGATTTTAATTCCAAATTGTCAGGTTTCTATCCCCATGTCAGACAACGTCAAAAGTACGACCTGCTCGCTCGCTCAGTCATGCGCCCTCCGTTTCCAATACAATGCAATATATATTATTTATGTGGCTAGACGTAATAATCTATATCAACTATGTTCACGGAGCCTCATGGTGGCACCATGATTGTTCCTGGCATAACTTCAGAATGGTTTCATACGAAATATCTGACATTATCCTGAAGGGATCATACGCAATCACCGAAAAACAACCCACAGAAACGGCCCTTCTGTATTCTGAAACGAAATTGCATCTTTCAATACATATTCATAAAGACATCTCGACATTAAGTTCGTGATTCATAACGTTCATGTTTATGCATGGCGCACAATGTGGATGTTTCCTTGGAGCATGATACTTGCACACGTGTTATTCATGTGATCCGCAAACAGTGATTGTTTAGCTAACAGGTGCTCAAGTCTTTGAATGACATTTAGAAGTGATGTACATAAGGTAGAGAATTTATGGATGTCAACTTCTTCATTATGTGGAGTATATACTTACTCCTTCATCAGGTGCATACATGCTATGAAGCAGAGAACAGACATGTGTACCTGTAAGAACAACAAAAATTAAACGATAACAAAACTGGAAACATTACAAGAGAAGCCAACCGTTAATTGGCCTTGATTGGTGATTAGCAATGGACAAGTGGAAGCCAACACTAAACAGTTTATTAACACTGATAGTTGACACTTGATAGCGATGGACAACTGGAAGCCAGGCATTGGCAATGGGCAAACTTGACCTAATTAGCACTGATAGGTAATAGTGGCAATGGACAAATGGAAGCAAGCTTGATAATTCGCACAGTCAAAAATTCAAGTCGCAAGCACTGGGCAGATAGGGTCACGGTTCATGGCTGGCTGTTATCTCCTGGCTGCCCTTTACTTTTTTCCGGTAGTATATAAACATCTGTGTCCAATCTAAAAATGTAACTTTATTATACATATGTGTCTGGACATGCTCAAGTGAAGGTAATTAGCCAACACTTGAACATGGAATCGAATTTATTTTGAAAACGTCTTCTTTACTCCAAATACAAAATGTATAAAGCAAACATTAAATATAATTTCTTTCAAGTCACGAATGATAGAGACGTGTCTGTTTCTTTTTCAGATTCAACGAAGGCACTCCTCACTCATGAAGACACAGGGTATGTATCAACCTATTATGAGAGGTCAGCTATGAGGCTGTTGACAGAACATGGCCGGATATTCATCAAAGGGAGATCTGGTTCTGGCAAGTCAAGGCTTGGTATCAGACTTCTGGCAACACTATCTGAAAACAAAAGTAGAACACCTGTTTTACTAACCTCAGCTGAAGAATGGAAATTGATACCCAAAACAACTGCCCATGATCGACGCAGGTACATTGTGATGTTAGATGATGTATTTGGATCCAGTAATTTTGTCCCTTCAAGTGTAGATGGATGGAAAAGAACATTTGATATTATGTGGCCATCAATTGAATCAAAACATATTTTTCTTGTTATCACATCAAGACCAGAGATAAGTATTCAGTGTGAGAATGAACTGAAGAAATATGACTTGATGCAGGACATGCCTTGTGTCACGTTGGATGAGGGAGAATATATACTTCAGGAGAGTGAAAAAAGAAAAATGCTGCAAACTATCTGTCCAACCAAAAGTGGCTTGATGCCAAAAGAAATACAAGATATTGCTTCAGCAAGAGCAACTCTTGGTTTTCCTCAGTGTTGCAAGTTTTTTGCAAGCAGTAAGCAAGCACAGTCTAAAGGAGTGAGCTTCCTTTTTCAGGCCGCATGACTATGTCTTGGAGGAGATAGACAGACTAAAAGAAAGCGACAGTTTAGGGTACCTTGTTCTACTTCTGGTACTCATGCAAAATGGATGCATGAAAAAAACACTACTAGAAAGGAGAACAAAAGAGTTAAGCAATATGCTTGAAACTTTAAAGGATGTGTGCGCAGACATGCCTGTATTGTTTCCAAGTCTTGTTAGAATCCGAGAAAAAGCTGATGCACTCTGTGGTGTATACTTAGTACTCAGTGCAGACGGATATAAGTTTCAGCATCAGTCAATATCAGAGTGTGTATTCATCACCTTGTCAAACATCGACACCAACTTATGCATCGAAGCATGTCCTGTACCACTGCTTTTAGAGCTCATTCAAACGAGAGTAAATGATCAAAATGAGAATGAAATAGTGATATTATTGACTGAGGATCACTATCCTGCGTTTGCTGATAGAATTACAAAACTATTGTTAACCTCAACTTCATCAAAAGAAATCTTGAACCATACCGCTTTTCAGGATGATGACTTCATTCGGTGTTTGGTATCCAAATGGACATCTGAAGGTAAAGTGCCAATTATTTGGCAGCATAACTTTGAATCAAAAACACAAATGTGGTTCACAAGTCAGCAACCAACGTCATTTAGCATCAATGTGGCATTGTTTGAATTTCAGAAAATTGTTCCGTTTCTGATTCTAAAGAATATCAAAACGCTTGTGGACACTTTGATTGCATTGAATAAAGATGAAGGTTCAGATGTCCTCCAGGAGTGTTTACCTTGTGCAGTTTATGTTGGCAGAAACGACCTTGTGAAGACCCTACTTGATTATGGAGCCACACCAGATGACAGTTTGTCCAGCAAGACATATAGACACCGATGTGGCAGATACCATTTTCAAAGTTGTTGTGGCAGTGCACGAGGAGGTTGATGGAGCGGATCCCGATAAAAAGTTGACATGGGATTCCATATCCAATCTAAGAGATCTCTTCTGGCTAGCAGTAATGAATGGAAACGTACATATTGTACAATTACTTGTCAAAAGGTTAAAGAGTGAAACAAACAGTTTGACAATCTTCAAGAATGCCTTGGTAGGTCTTGTCAAGGAACTTAGTAAAGGCCATAGATGTCCAGTATTTACGCCCTATAACATGACACACCTGAGTGAAATAATTAAAATTCTCCTGGGCACAGGATGCAAGGTAGATCTTGAGTATCTCATTTTGCAGGCAGCAACCCACACTGATGCTACTGCGTTACGTCTTTTTCTTGCACAAGGTGTACATGTGGATGATATATATGTTGCAAAAGAAGACGTTTACAGCACCGAAGATTATTATCCAACACCTTTACAGCAAGCAGCAGCTTATGGAGGGGAGGATTGTCTGGAAGAAATCCTCAGTTGTTCACATCTAATTAGCAGTAACCATTCATTATTGCACACTGCAGTTAAACATGGTAACACTGAGTGTGCGTCCTTGCTCATTCAGAAAGGCGTCCCAGTCAATACACTGGACAGAAATGGCAATGCACCTCTTCATGTTGCTGTCAAACACAACCAGTTGAAAAGTATTGAGCTACTACTTTCAAAGCATGCATCTGTTGACATAGAAAACAGTGATGGGTGTATACCATTATTATGTATGGAATATGCATCCCCTCCCGACATAAACATTGTTGCAACTCTTATAGATGCAGGAAGCAATATTAATGAGGTTGATAAACAACAAAGGACACTACTTTATAAAGCAGCAGAGTACGGTGACCTGGCTACTGTGAAGTACTTATGCAACAAAGGCGCCAACGTGAATATTGACACACAACAGTTCAACATTTCCTGTATGGCAATCAAAGATGAACAAAGGCTGTGTAAGAGAGTTATTCTTGCTGCGTGCAGAAATGCTGATATTGACACCGTAAAGTTGCTCTGTGAACATGGTGCTGATGTTGACATAGTTGACGTCAATGGGGAAACAGTAATACACAAAGCTGCTGCATCCCGAATCGATGCTGTAGAGAAACTTCAATATCTTCTGGACATCAAACAGGTGCCTCTTAGTATACCAGACAATTCTGGAAGGACGGCCTTATTTCCAGCAGTGATGTCAGCTTTACAAACTGGGTATTTGGAAGTTCTGCACTTTCTTGCGTCTCGAAAGATGGACCTCAAGCAAAGGGATACTTATGGGGACAGTTTACTGTTATATGCATTAACCCTAAACCCATTGGATTCAAAGCATACTGCATCAGAAGGCTTCATTAACCTGATGCTAAGCCATGGAATTGATCCAAACATAAAGAACCTACAAGGAAGAGCAGTGCTTCACTATGCTGCAGTCAGGATGACAAAGGACAAACTAACCTTGCTCCTAGACGGAGGTGCTGATCCGTGTGTTCAAGATGAAACTGGACAGACTGTGCTCCATTATGCTGTAAAGAAACGAAGTGTTGACAATGCGAGGTTGTTCTTAGAAAAGGGTGCCGATCCATGTGTTCAGGACCAAGACGGTAAAACAGCCCTTCACTTTGCAGTAGAATTGAAAGATTCTGACACTGTTAAGCTGCTCCTTAATAAAAGAGCTGACCCTTGTGTATCCGATAACTATGGCAGGGATGCCTTGTTTTACGCTGTAAAAGGCCAGAGTAGTCTCATCATGAAATTACTCCTGCAAAATGGAGCCAATCCTTGTGTACAGGATAGGTATGGCACTACAGTACTTCACATTGCTGCGAGGTGTCTTGATAAAGAAAACGTCATGCTACTGCTGGAACATAAAGCAGACCCACATACTCAAGATCAGCATTTCCAGACGACACTCCATTTTGCTGGCCGCAATACAAACAGTGAGGTTGTCAGATTACTTCTGGAGAGAGGTGTTGATTCCTTTGTGCAGGATGACAGTGGAATGACGGCTCTTCACTGTGCAGTATTAAACTGCAACACTGAAAGTGTTGAGTTACTTCTGGAAAGATGTCCAGTAAGGGATATACAAGATCGAGAAGGAAAGACGCCACTTCACCATGCAGCGGAAACAGAATACACAAATATTGTTAAGCTTCTCTTAGAAAAAAACTTCGACCCCAGTGTACAAGACCGTTGTGGTGAAACATCCCTTCACTATGCAGCAAAGAGAGGGTATAATGAGAGTGTTGAGTTAATTGTGGAAAAAGGTGTTGATGTGTCTATCAAAGACCAAGAAGGCATGACAGCACTTCATCATGTGGCAGATATCAGTAAGGAAAGTGTTCAACTACTGCTGGTACATGGTGCTGATTCCAGTGCAAAGGATCATATGGGGAGAACTCCTCTTCACCTGGCAACAGAAGGAGGATGCAATGATAGTGTAAAGCTGCTTTTGGAGAATGGTGCAGATCCTTGTGGAAAGGATGATTTGGGCAAAACACCACTTCAATAAGCAGCAATTCACAATGAAGATATCATTAATATGTTGTTTGAGAAGGGTGCAAACGCACATGTGCAGGACAAAGAAGGCAAAACGCCACTTCACTATGCATCAGATTGTAATTTGTGGAATTGTGCTCATCTGCTGTTAGAAAACGGAGCTGACCCCTGCCGACGGATCAACAAGGCAAAACAGCCCTGCACACTGCAGTTGAAGCTGAGTTTAGCTTTGATGTATTTGCGTACACCCACACGTCATACCGGTACGTAACGAAAAGAAAGAAGAAGAAGAGTATTGTTAAGCTCCTCATTGATAAAGGGTCCAATCCATGTATGAGGGACAAACAAGGAAGAACTGCACTTCATTATGCAGCTGAGAGAGGTTGCAGTGATAGCTTTCATCTTTTATTGGGAAATAATCCTATGCCATTCATCAAGGACGAACAGGGAAGAACTCCTCTGCACTGTGCAGCAGCCAAAGGAAGCAGGGACAATGTTGAACTGCTCTTGGATAAAGGTGCAGACCTATGTGCAAAAGATCAACAGGGAAGAACTCCTCTGCACTGTGCAGCAGAAGCCGAAAGTGATTGCAGTGAAATTGTTAAACTTCTCCTTGAGAAAGGAGCTGATCCCCTGATGATGGATCAGCAAGGCATGACAGCCCTTGACTATGCAACTAGATGTGGGAACACTGCCAGCGTTAAGCTATTGCATGGAAGGGTTTCTGAGAAACAGTGATTGTGAACAGAAGATAGTACTGTATTGTTGTCGGGTTGTATTTATCCATAAAACTAGATATGAGGAACTGTGTGGATATGAAGAGGAAGCAAGAGAGTTATGTAGTTGATTAAGTGTCCAAAATGACAGGTAATGATTGGCAAGTTGTGCTATGCACTCATGTAGTTGATTTATTTCTTATAATGTCTCCAGTATATGGGATCAATTTTTAATAGGTCGTGTTGTGTAGTCACGTAGTGGGTTCATTGTCTGTAATGCCTTAAGTATATGTGATCAAGTATTGATAAGTTGTGTGATGTGCTCGTGTAGTCGATTTACTGTTATAATTGTAATTGTAATTAATAATTGGTTGTGTAATTTGTGATAAGTCGTCTACAATCCATAATTATGTCATGTATTTTATCACCATTTACCTGTGTGAGTTATCCCTCACACGTTGGAGATACCTATTGACGGCGCGGTAGCTTAATTTGTCCAAATCCATCAACAGAGAATACAGTCAACATGACATCTGCAGAAACATGCTGTTTGGTTGTGTATTTGATTCAAATGCAGCATGTAAGCATAGAACGTAATGTACTTAATACATGCAACCTGTTAAGGATGTACTACACATACTTTGCTTGTCTTTTTAAAGCCACCCCTCATACATACTTGAATCAACAGGGGTTTGTTTGTTTGTTTGTTTGTTTGTTTGTTTTCAAGAAAGAAGTTCTGAAATATAATTTTATCACATTTTCTTGATGGATGTGGTCAATTTGTTAATCTTCAGCAACCTTTGCTTGTCGTAAGAGGTAACTATGCTTGTCGTAAGAGGCGACCAACGGGATCGGGTGGTCAGGCTCTCTGACTTGGTTGATGCATGTCATCGTATCCCAATTGCGTGGATCGATGTTCATTATGTCAGTCACTGGATTGTCTGGTCCAGATTCCATAGCTTGGACAAAGATGTACAGCCTAGGGTCACCCTAGGGAGCGTCAGCATATGACACAAATGGCAAGTGTTGTGCGAAAGTAAGCGTGTGTGTGATTCCTATGCACCTCGACCACACTCTCTCGGTTTGGGGTATATAAATGTCAACATTGTTATCAGGAGTGAAGAGATGAAACGCCATACTGGAGTTCACCTATATTGCCATTTATTGCCGAGAGCCAATAATAATAATAATAATAATAATAATAATAATAATAATAATAATGTGTACTTATATTGCGACATCCTCAGTGCACTTGGTGCTTGGACTGTTGGTTTGACATGTAACTGAACTGAACTTAACTTTGTTACACTCAGACCGCTATCAGCGTCATTAGAGGTACAGCACTGATCAACATATACATCACTATATACAAATACAATATATATATATCAACAGATTTACCGAGCAGTGGCTTCAGTAAATCAAAATACGGGACAGAGTTCAGTTACAAGACATATTGATAGGGTTAAATAGCAGCATTATAATTTTACAAAAACTGGATAATAAGTGTTTTTAATCTATTATTATTTATTATTTGGTAAAATGTAAAAAAATATCTTCTAATTAGCTGTTTTCTCTCATTTTGAAATAGCAGATAGATAAGTAGATAGTGGAACTCATCACCTAAATCAAATGATTTACAAATGGACATTTTCTTTCAGTTAAGGTATTTCATTTCAATCTTCAATGGGGAGATTGTCATTGGAGGTTCTAAATTAAAATAAGTCGCTCCAAATACTTACTTTTATATTTAAATAATTTTAGGCCAAGATCATCGAAGATTTGTTTTAAAAAGGTTATCCATTTATGTTTGTGTTTTTCAAATATACTGAACAACAAAAGTTCCTGTGACATTGAATAAGATCTATGCAAAGCTATGGTTTTTACCAAATCTGAAACAATTTCGGTTTGCAACAGATAAAAGACCCCTGTAAGTGTTCAAATGGTTTAATTTGCCATACTGACTTCAGAAAATGCGTGATTTTTATCAAAAACAACAACATTTTCATACAAACATGTCAATTTACAAATCAATAGCGTGTGTGTCCACCTCTGGTTGCGATGCAAACAATACATCTTCGTCTCATGGAATGGACCAGGCGTCGCAAAAAGTCCTGTGGGATATCTGTCCATAAATGCTGGAGCATGTGTCGAAGTTCCTTGGGTGTCTGTGGAACACGTGGTTGACGTCGAGGGCGCCGATCCATCTCATCCCACACGTGCTCGATTGGTGAGAGATCAGGGGAGCGAGCTGGCCAGGGGATGACATTCACGTTGTTTTGTTGTCTTGAAGAGAATCCTGAACAAGTCGAGCAATATGAGGCCGGGCGTTTTCATGTTGAAAGGTAATGCCTGGGCCATGACGACCCAATAAACGGTAGAACAACGGGGCCGATGATCTCGTCGCGTTAGCGCTGTCCATTGAGATTTCCCTCTACCAATATCAAACGGGTCCTCTGTCTTGCTGTAATCCCACCCCATACCATAACCCTGCCGCCCCCGAACCGATCTTCTTCCAATGATTGACGCTACGTTCACCTCGACGTCGGTACACTCGAATCCGTTCATCGCTGTGGCTGAGGTGAAACCGAGACTCGTCAGTGAATAGAACTTGTCCCCTTTGCATGGCCGTCCAGCGTAGACGCTGTTTGTACCACTGTAGACGTGCTTGACGGTGGTTTCCTGTCAAAATTGGACGTCTGGCGGGGCGACAGCCGTCAAGCTTCCGAGACGGGCCAAGGCGGGGGTGATGAATGATCCACGCACGAAAGGTGGTCTTGATGTGATGAAAAGTGTGAGAGATGCGTAAACACGCTCTTTCCCCCTTATATAGCCTAACTAGCTATTGGAAATTTCTACAGTGTCCCCATCAGTGTAGCGGTTCCACAACATTCCACATGTTTCTTTAACACACTATCACCATCCGCGGTATACCGGAAGTTTACACACAACACTAGCATCTAAATATAGTTACTTCCTGACGAGTACTTACATTAAATAGTACGACAATCCTGACGACTAATCATTGTCCAAACACAATGCAATGAGCGTCTACCGAATCTCCTCAGAAACAATGTAAGACATTTACAACCACCGTTAAACAATAAAATACACTGCCGTATAACAATATGTACTCACCACAGGGACTCATGCACATGTCATAATTAGTTGAGAATTGATTAAAATGATCGTTCGTTATAGGCAACATACCTCGTTCCAACTTCATATCAAGTGTACGTCCCCCTTAACAGGTCAGGAATATCTCTCGGGACATAAGCTTTACGTGAATGGCAAGAAAAGTGGGTATCAGTACAGATGCACATGGTATTAATGGTTGCATGTTTGATATATTCAGTAGGAATGATACACATACTATTGAGGCACATACGTATTCAAAATAATCTTCAACACTACCTATCACTGATGATAATGGGTTAGAATAGCTGCACACGTGTCGTATAAGAAGACATCTTCCCGAGGCAAGTGACTTAACTGACTATAAAAGTCCAGTTTCCATCCTTGCTGAACTAGGCTGGTATTATGGAGTTACATGTTGGCTAGACTAACCAGTCCAATCAAAATCGCGCACCGAAATCGAAAGCCGGTTCGTAAACTGTCATGCAGTTTTCGGTCGATTGGAGGATTTGCAAAGCATGTGCACTGCTAGCTTGTCTAAATCTTTACATGTTTTCAATCAAGGTGCTCACGTGATTTGATGCACTTCGCGATTTAAGACTCGTTTTATCACAATATAGATCTTGATTATCGATCAAATCGTCTTGACTGGGCGCCGCCGTTTTGTTTGAAGCAAATGCAAGTGTAACGAGAGGTGGAATTTGATTGGTCCATAGGAGAGTGCTATGAGTACTATGACACACACACAGTGATGAGTACTATGACACACACAGTGATGAGTACTATGACACACACGGTGATGGGTACTATGACACACATGGTCATGAGTACTATGACACACACACAGTGATGAGGACTATGACACACATGGTCATGAGTACTATGACACACACAGTGATGAGGACTATGACACACACATGGTGATGGGTACTATGACACACATGGTCATGAGTACTATGACACACACAGTGATGAGGACTATGACACACTTGGTGATGGGTACTATGACACACATGGTCATGAGTACTCATGACGTGTGTGTCATAGTCCTCATCACCTTATGTCATAGTACTCATCACAGTACCCAGTGTAACTAGTGTATCTTGTATAAAGTATCACCCCTACAAGACTCACCATGTCTCCAAGCCAACAGATAACAACAAATTTCATGTGCTTTGATTGGGTGATTATACCAGAGCTTTATCCACTTGTATGTACATCGATCAGTGACAACATGCTACAGTATGCTGAAGAAGTGCTGGCTCCCTGTCGAACAGGGCAATGGCTGGAAACACAAGTAATAGAGCCTCTACTTCACGTCTTACCAACGTTTCCTTTCCTGTACCTCACGCTGACCATCATTGTATGGCCTATAGCATGTTTAGTTCCACTAACAGCATGCATAGACGATATTTGTTTGTTTGTTTGTTTGTTGTTGAAAACCTCACTCAGCAATATTCCAGCTATAAGACGGCGGTCTGTAAATAATCCGAGTCTGGGTTGCATGTGCATCGATCTACGCAATTTGGATATGATGACATGTATCAACCAAGTCAGCAAACCTGACCACCCGCTCCCGTAAGTCGCCTTTTACGACAAGCATAGTCGCCTTTTACGGCAAGTATGGGTTGCTGAAGACCTATTTTTCCCCGGAATCTTCACGGGTCGCAGAGACGATAAAAAATTTGAAATGTTATATTATAATTTATAACTTAACATGTCAACTATGTCTGCTCAAAACAGCATTCAAAATAATTTTAAACCCAACAAGACATTCAGGCAGGTGACCCAGGCGGGCACCCAATTATTACTAAAACAAATTAAGGCGATCACTGGCTGGGAGGGGGGTTTGATGCCAAATAGTTGACAGAGACCAAACAGGTGCACTTCTTGTGAATAACACATCAGTCTGCATAAAAACCTTTTGAGTCTACTGGTACCTCTCAGTGTCACTTGATACTATTTTCAGCATTTCAACTTATGTATGTACTTTTATTAACCAAGCTGACTAGACCGAAAGACATTTTACAACAGACTACAGGCTGAAGTCAGAGTAATATACATACTCAGATCTATTTAATTTCTTGAATTATGGACAACAATACTAGTAGTGAGTGAGTGAGTTTGGTTTTACGCCGCTTTTAGCAATATTCCAGCAATATCACGGCAGGGGACACCAGAAATGGGCTTCAAACATTGTACCCGTCGGCATGACGGGCGATCACTTTAACCACCAGGCTACCCAACCGCCCCGACAACAATACTAAACATGCTAAAGTAAACAAAAGAAGGATCAATCAGTCAATCCTCTCATTTATTAGTTCTTTATATTGTTGGTGAAACACAGCTTGTCACATTGGCCTCAGAATAGCAGGAAACCAAAAGGTTGGGAAATAAGCATGTCAAGAGGAAACACCATGGACTCAACAAAGGTGATGCACTTCACCTTCATGAAGAGAGCACAAACAACAGGGTAAAAAAAGGTTTTTGTCCATTGTTCCAGCCCTCAAGGAGACGTGCATACAGTCTGGCAGCGAAGCACAAGAGACAGCCTTCCATACTTGACCAGTCTTTCAGCAGTTCATTCTCTGGGATGAGCATCTCAAACTGTTCCAACGTAGACATCCAGAATCCCTTCGAATACTCTTATATAATTTAGTGAGTAAGAATTTATTAACGATTAAGTTTATCAACTTACAATAAATCCAGCCTCCTGTTAAGAACACCAGACAATGGATTAACAAAGTGTAATTAAATATTAACATGTTGTATGTTTTTGTGGTGCTTTGATTAGATTATTTTCCCCATGCAGGGTATCGGATCAACTCAAATTCCTGGACATCGCTGCTATCATCCAAAACATCCTAAAGTTTAAATTGTTTTCTTAAATTATGAAATGATTTTGAAACATTTAAGCATGCAATTATGATCCTAACCGTTTCATTGGCACTAAAATGCAAGGAAGTTCGAACACAGTACTTCCAGGAAGATGACAAAAAAACAGACACAGTCCAAATGTATTTCTGGAACAATGTGAGATGGCTCCAAGCCAGGGCTCTGCTGCTGTGTACGATGGAATATGTCAACACTGATTCACAAACACATGTCCATGTTATGAGTTTTTGGCAACAAGAACTCCGCCAGACTTTGTCTCCTTGTCTTGTGTTTCTGGCGTGTCTTTAGTCTCCTCGCCCCGGATCTTCAGGCCGTGATGTTCTCTGTATTTGTTGATATCGGTGCCCTTTGTTTCCAACTGCTTCGTTAATGTGCCCACCAAATTGTTCATCTGCAAAAAGAAACGTGTTTACTCGTCATCTTTTTTTGGACACAAACAACTTGTTTTACATGGAAAAAAACACATGGAAAAAAACTCTTGTCGTGAGTGAATAGATTTTGTCACGAGTGACAGTTGTTTACTGGTACTATTGTTATGATACGCCTATTTCATGTATCAAAATATATGTATACCATGTATACAAAGGTAGCCACCATTCGTCAAATCTGACTAATCTGCAGCTCATTTCGGACTGGTGGTTTTTGCAAACTAGCTAGATTTTGGTACAAAACAACTGGTTCCCCTGGATTTTCTGAACTATAAGCCATGTCTATCCCTGTATAAATATATTCTGTTTTTTTTGTTTGTTTGTTGTTTAACACCACACTCAGCAATATTCCAGCTCTATCATGTCTATGACGACAGTCTTTAAATAATCAAGTCTGGATAAGGCAATCCAGTAATTGACATCATGAGCATCAATCAATGCAATTGAGATACGATGACATGTACCAACCAAGTCAGCATGCCTGACCACCCGATCCCATTAGTCACCTCTTACGACAAGCATGGGTTGTTCAAGACCTATTCTAACCCAGATCTGCACTGGTTCCCAAATTCATGCAGGCCTCCGATGTTTACCACTTTAAAGAAACCCATGAGCATGTGTATGGTGCTAGAGCAAAACAGGATTCAAACCCACGATCAAATGTTCGCTGCATACCCAGGCGACAAAACTCTGCACCACAAATTGCAGCACATCACTCACTATCTGAGTAGGTAACTCAGATATATACTGACAGTATTGCAAACATATTCTCACACAGCAATGAAGATAGAGAGTTTTTCACCCAAATATCTTTTGATATGACATATATCTACATGAGTTGATAAAAGTTTAAAATTCCAAGGCTTGTCAAGCAACAAGCAGAGTAAAAAAGTAATCATGCTAATTTCCAACCCTGAAATGTCTATTCTTTACTAATATGAACATGTCCAATAACTTTCAGAATCATAACGATATCTCTAAATTTTCCATAACATTCAAAACTACTATTTACCAGCATGTCCAGTGGGAACCAAACATCACTCATCCACACAGATGAATTCTTCCAGTTATTTCTGAGAATAATATATTAATAAAACTTCAAAGGTTGAATATCGACAATACTGACCTGGTCCTTGTTATTGACGAGCGCGGGTAGGACATCCTTTACCGTTCTCTCAACCAGAACCCCGCCGACCATACGGAAACACTTCCTGTCGGAATCTACCTCTTTCAGTGTCTCGATCACCAGTCTGAAAACAACATGGGAAGGTAAGTCCTCAGTCCAGAGTGAGTGAGTACAGGGTCAGAAACTAACAGTTTTCGTCCACTAGTCCTTATAATGATAACATATAGCAAAACCCTTAAAAAGGGCAAATTCCTACTAGTCCTTATGATACTTTTACCATTGGGCAGTTTGGCAAGGACCATAGAACTAGTGCCAATTTCTAACGCTGGAGTATGGTTTTATGACACTTTTAGCAATATTCCAGCAATATCATGGCGGGGGACACCACAAATGGGCTTCACACATTGTACCCATGTCGGGAATCGAACCTGGGTCTACGACGTGACAAGCGAACGCTTTAACCACTAGGCAACACAACCGACCCTGTCAGTCCAGAACATCAGACCATAAGTCAATAACATGATGCTAAACAAGGAATGAAGGCAGGCAGACAGTCAGTTATTTCAGACACCGTCTGAGAGCATACACAGTGAAGTCATACAGTACTCGAATATTCCGTGATGCACAACAAATCAGGGGAACCGGAACTACAACGTGAACTGTTTTGGGTTTCAGGTTGAGATCTATGGAATTGTCCTCCATTTAGCGTACTGGGTACTGTTCTGTATTCTGAGTTTGGTAGGTTGCATTACCGTAGACACAAACATACGTGGGGTTCAAACCTGTAGTACCTGTGCCAACAACAAACCCTTCTGCTGCAATTAGATGGCAAATACCACTTTGACAGGTCACATATGGTTAAAATGTTTATTCATATTTTGACAAAACTGTCAACATCGTCCACCACAACATCAGTTTTTTCTTAAGGGAATTTTATTTAACATATTGAGAATGTTTCTTATCAAGTTCAAATATGCCATTTGTCATCAGAATGATCATGAAATAATTACGATTTTGACAGTGGTTTCTGTCATTTTATCATCAAAGTTCATGGTCATTTTTAACTTTCTCACAAAAGTAAAAAAGGAAACAAATGCTTTTCAATGACAAAAAGAAAGTATGTTTACAGTTGGGCTGGGACAGGAAACTTGGGTCAGGTGGGTACTTAGTAGGACCCGGGTACCCACAGGACTACCCAGGGCCCATGCCAGTAACTAGGGCTGGGACGAGTCCAAATTTACTACCCGGGTACCCACCCCGCTATTACCCAACCCTACCCATGTACTCGCTGAAGGTCTCAAGAGTGGGTACAAAATGTCTGATTGGGAATAGTTTGACCGTAGCCCTGGCAGAATGATTGAGATACACGAATAAAACGATATGGTCATGCATACACTGAAGTTGACTGAAGTTTTATCCATACATTTTGGCAGGGCTACGCTCAAACTATTCAAAATCGGACATTTTGTACCTGTCACTTAAGACCTACCGTGGGTACCCGGGTAGGGTCGGGCAATAGGGGGTGGGCACCCGGATAGTAAACATGGGCTCGTGTCAGCCCTAGTTCACAGCTAGATGGTAGCATGCAGGTGCGTCTTGTGATGTTTTCAGACGGAGGCACGTGTGCATGTAACTAGGGTATAATGTCACTAAAGAAAACTAAATCCATACTCATGTTCTTTCATATCCATCTCTATTTCGGATATCTTCGTTGCTAGTATCCTTTGTTGCTGTCGGAGTTCTTGAAAACCAGCAATAATTTGTTCTTGCGATTTTCCTTTCGCTGCTTTCTGTGCATAAGTCGACGCCATTTTCAAGCAGCCTCGTTACCATATGACGACAATACTTTCCTAACGCCTTCAAGTGGAAGACTTCCGTTGCTAACGTTTTCTGTCGATGAAACGACACACAACACATGCGAACACTCTTCAATGGTCCCATCAAATACACAAGTCTGGGAATTTCATTATTAATGATTTTTAGGCAACTTGTGTGTAGTTGTACGTCTTTGCATTGTTAACTATATCTCAACAGTATGTGGTTTCGGATTAAGTTTCAATAGAGACCACATAATAGATTATATGGTCTCAGAGATCGACATAAAAATATATAAAACGTTTCTCTTTAAAATGATGTCTTCAAAACAAAGTTGGTGGGATATAATATAACTGCAATAAAATAATCAAACGAATGAAAAAGTTTATTTTTGAAAGTCAATTCAAATGGCAAAGTCCCACCCACTGTTGACTGTCTAAAAAGTTTTCGTTGCTAAAATCCTTCCCAGAATAAATATACTCTACGGAAATAAAAACTGAGTCATGTACACGCTAAACTGCTTTGCGGGTATACAGGTATTTCTGAGACATTTCACTCTCATCAGTCAGCCAAGGCAGCTGTCACCACAATGATAAGAACGAAAGATTAAGACAACAGGCTGCAATGGCTGCATCGGTGAAAGGGGGGCTGGTGGACAATCCGTACCCACATAGATCCGTTCCTTGTATATTTTGGCGGTCCGTACACAAATGTTGGATAACCCGTTACCACCAGTACCAAATCGACCCTAAAAAAAGCGTATTCGTACACAATGAAAATATATATGGTTTTAAACATCGATCGCTTCTATTTGATTATTTTAGGTACGGGTTAGCCATTTTCGGTGGTACTAGCGGAAAGAATAGTGAGTGAGTTGGGTTTAACGTAGCTTTTAACAGTATTCCAGTTATATCATGGCGTGTCAGCTTAATGTGGGAGGAAAGCCCGAAGTGATGCAGGTCTCAGACGTTTACCAGTTCGGTGAAACCCACGAGCACGGGTATGGTGATGACAAACCTGGAACATAATTGGGGCGCACCGGGATTCGAACGCACAATCATAGGTTTCTGGCGTGTCCAAGGGACGCAACTCTGCACAGCGTATCGCAGCGCTTTAGACGACTGGGCCCCCCTCAGACATTTTAATGTTCATCGAAACACAATATCATCTGTTTGGAGATGTTGTCAACAGCAGGGTAACACTCATGACTGGCCACGGGCCGGTCGTCCACGTGTGACGTTACGTCAACAAGACAACCATATTCGGTTGGTGCGTCTACGGAAGCGATACCAAACTGCCACATTACAGCTCGGACATGTCCTGGGTTGAGTGGCAAGGCCGTACGCAACCGGTTGAGGGAGCACATCATCCGAACCCGACGTCAAGCGATACGCCCAGGTTTGCTTGTCACCACCAGGCACGCCTGTCTTGGCGTAGACAGCATCTGAGGTTAGGTAGATAAGACTGGGATAGTATACTGTTCACAGATGAGTCCAGGTTTAATCTTGACAGCTCTGATGGTCGTACAGGGGTCTACATGCGTCTGTTTTAGCGACGTTTGGGTCACTCAACGTCATCAGTTTGGGGGTAGAAGTGTAATGGTATGGGGTGGCATCACAACTCATGGGAGAACACAACTCACCATTGTTAATGGCAATGTGAATGGCGTACGCTGCCGGGACGACATCGTTCGAGATAATGTTCGACCCTTTGCGCCAATGCAGGGACGTAACGTCACGTTACAGCAGGGTAATGCCCGCCCACATGCTGCACGTGTTGTAACAGACTTCTTGAGGCAGCGTAACATTGCTGTACTGCCATGACCGGCTATTTCTCCAGACCTCTCCCCTACAGAACATGTCAGGCATGAGATGGTAGGACGCCTACGACAGGACAAGAATCAACTGGTAACGCTAGCTCGGGCCAATCTTTTGTTGACATTTGGAACAACATCATCCAGGTTGTTTTCAATCCTCTGGTGTCTGTATCAACGCAAATGGTTGTCACACCTGATATAGACATTGTTAATTGAGTTGTTACACCCCCTCCACCTTTTGGGACGTGTCGCTCGGTCTTCTGTTACCAGGTATGGGTTTTGTTAATGAATTTGTTATAATAAAACATTGATGAGACGAATGACCAAATATTATGTTGTTATTTTCAATTCCATACCATTTACACTACTCTATATAAAGCACAGTTTCTTTTTTTTCTCCTTGGTTCACATAACCTCGTAAATGCACACCCGGAAGAACTGGACGAATCGCAATCCCTGTACGTACTTCCAAATCTATGAAACATATTATTTATTCCACCTTACAACAATAAATCGTTACAAGGGGTAGCAACCGGGGCCTATATAGTACCTTTTTAAAAAGAACACAGACAGACAGACAGACAGACAGACAGACACACACACACACACACACACACACACACACACACACACACACACACACACACACACACATACGTACAAAATCCCAAACGTTTATCCAAAGGTATGTCAAAATTACACATGCAATAATCTAAATATATACACAGCCAGTAATAGTTGTTGTAATAATAACTAGTTTATGTTGATCCGGTAGACGTTCATGTTAGCTGAAATGAAAATAATATGTTGTATCGAGAACACTCGCTCTACAGATATACCGGAAGTTGTGGAACATCAATGGCGGCGGACTTGAAAACAAATCGCGATCAGTGAATATGCATTTTCTGTAATTAGGTTATGTGGACACATCAACATGGCGTCTTATGATATTGAGAATCTCACAAGTTGTCTGATTCAATAAGGGCTATGGGAATGGAAAGACTAACGCACAGATCAACGAAATTTGGGTGAGAATATTTCCTTCGTGCGATTGACAGGCCTGTGCTTGTTTCAACAGCTCTGAAGTGTCACAAAACATTAAAAGCATTCATATTTTTACCGGGCGCTGCGGCCTTACTGTCTCGCTACTGTATGCATATTCTTTGTAAATGACAAAAAATACGATTGCGAAAGTTAAACTATTTTCATTCAGCTGTTGGGGTCGTCGTCACAGGTCCTAGGCCTAAGAGAAAATACCCAGAAATGTGTATCCCCGGGTGACTTTCCGCTCACACAAATATACCAGCTGTACACTATATATGCCTAAATCAGGGGTTTACATGATGCAGAAATGTGTGTCCCAGGTGCCTTTCCGCTCACACAAATATACCCCAGCTGTACACTATATATAATCCTAAATCAGGGGTTTACATGATGCAGAAATGTGTGTCCACTATGCACAAATGTTTGGAGTGGACGCAGAATAAATATAGTGCATCCATCAGGATGCACAGTAATATCATTAGGACTGTATAAAAAATATTGATTATCGAAATTATCATCCATGGAAAGAAATGTTAATGATTATCAATACGAAATTGTTGTCATCGATAAAAACTTTCATAAACTATTGTAATGAAATAAAGTTTAGATTTACTGAAACAGACCTGTTATTGTCAATTGTCGAGGACGGAAAGCACCTGTTTTAGTTATGTCGCAAATGTGCACAAAATAATCCATGCATAAATGTATCACTGCTCACCAGTTGTGTGAAATATGCTGATTTCTTTTGGGACTTTCAAGCACATTTGCTTATGGATACTTGTCTGATATTTATCAGTAATTGATCGATATTTAGTTTGCGGTTATTGATCTCTATGGTCTATATTGATAGCCATCCCTAATATTCATAGTACCAAATTATTGACAAGAAATATAAAGGTCCTGTAATTATAGTAATTATCAAATCATACAGTACAGCACACTACCCCATTTTTGTAATTTACAGGACAGTCATATTTCATGTGAGGGCCCTTGAAATTAATTATTGGAAGCCTCCTGGGACTAGCGGCTAAAGTTACAGACAGTATTTATTTTCTGAAGCCTTGTCCAATTTATACCAGAACGAAACAGACTTAAATGTTAAAAAAAGAATTGCCAACAGTCGAAATAAAATTATTTTTTTTACACTGTTGTCATTTTCTGATTGTGATTTTTTGTCGAACTTAAGGAACTGTTACTTTACTAGGCTTTAGTAACTAATTTGTTATTTGTTCTTGCAGTGATCCCTTTGGTCGGGACCCCCCTCCTAAAGCTTTTTACCATCCAAGTAAACAGAAAAAGTTGGGAAAGAAACAGAAAGAGGTTTGCAACTGAGTTACCATGGTTACAATTGTTATTTCATTACTGTCACAGGGACTGCAGTGACACCATTGTTCAGCCCCAAGTCTACATTTCTCAAGACATGCTGTTATAGTTATAACTAATGTTATGGTTTTGTAGAGGTGACATGTATTTAACTGACAACAGGATCAATCCAGAGGAAGAGGCTTTAATTCTTATTCTAACACTATTGTATTGAATGCAATGTTAAAATTCAAAGTTAAAGTTAGAATTTTGAAAAATATCTATTAAAAAAATCCAAATTTTGAACAAATAAATGGTTCATCCCAATTTACCTGCCTGCCTGGGAAGTAGCCTACACTATATTTCCTCTTTATTTGAAGATTATTTAAAAAACTCAGAATAAACTTGAAATAAAATAATCAAAGTAACGAGAAAATAATTCAAATAAAGAGAAAATAATGGAAGTAACAAGAAAGTTTGAGTTTTTTAAATAAACTCAAAGTAACAAGTTAAAACTCGAAGTAGCGAGAAAATTATTGAAATAACAAATACCAAAGTGGCATCTTTAGGCTTTCATTAATATGAACTACTATTAGCTGCACATACTAGACCAAAAAGAATTTTACTTAACTCAATCTTTGGAACAGCGGTTTAGGCCATAGACTGATGTTGACTGCTGAGAAATTGCCAATATATTCCCTCCTCCCCACCTTAAGGAACACAGTTCAAGCACATCAAATTTATGTTTCTGACACTAACAGTGATCATTAAATTGTACAGATTACCCTGAGTCCAGCCCGTGATGGCAGCAAGGCTAGACGAGTCAGTCCGACAGAGGATATGTTCCTGAAAGGAACCAACATCTTCTCGGTGAAGACTCCTGCAGAGCGGAGTGACCACTCATCTCAGTTTGACGAATCCTGGCCCAGCAGTGACCGTCCCTCAAGTAGCAGGTAGTGATAAGGGGGCAGGGGAGTGGTATAGGGATCGGCGCCACGGTGCAACGGCGCCACTCTCTTTCTGGCCCTGAAAACTCCACTATGTGGTTCTTTGGCTAAACAATGGAGAATATTAGGAAGCATGTTGATGTTGAATTAGTAACGTCTCAAGTCGGAGAGAAACTTAGGAAAGTAAAAGATGGTCCAGCATATGATAGAATGTGGTATTCCATATTGATTCAGGGGATCAGGTAGCCTAGAGGTTAAACTTAAAGCATTCGCTCGTCATGCCGAAGACCCAGGTTCGATTCCTGACATGGGTGCAATGTGTGAAGCCCATTTCTGGTGACCCCCACTGTGATATTGCTGGAATTTTGCTAAAAGCGGCACAAAACCATACTCACTCACTCATATTGATTCAGCAGCATTACATATGAAATAAAAAAGGACCCACATGGAGGCTGTTTCAGGGCCTGGGCCTGGACGGGCGTGGCACTGTTCCCTGTACTACTAGGGGCTAGGCATAAATATCCAGGTCAAGGGTGGCACTGTCATCTAACATGCCACACATCGCTGTGCAGAGTTACTATCCTGGGCACGCCAGAAACCTATGATTGAGGGTTTGAGTACCAGTTTGTCCTGATTATGTTTCTAGTTTGTCAGCACCGAACCCGTGCTTGTGGGTGTGACCAAAGTGATAAACGTCACTTCAGGCTTTTCTCCACATAAAGCTGACACACAGTGACATAACTGGAATACTGTTAAAAGCGGCATTATACCCAACTCTCACACACACTCACAAAAATATCCACAGTGCCCTGTGGGAGTTCCAAGTTAGAATAGCTCCCAAGCAATCTGTGCTGGTCAACTGAGTGACTTGGTTGACTTGTGTGTCATTGTACCCGGATATCTGGATCATTCCTTATTATGTCAGTCAGTGGATTGTCAGGTCCAGCCTGGTTTACATGTACTTACAGGCAACCGTCCTATAGCTGGAATGTTATAGCGTGGTGCAATAAGGTGAGGTGAGGTGAAATGGGGTTCAACATCGCTTCCAAGATTATTGCACTTATATTGCGACGGGCATGCACGTGTGTGTGGGTGTGGGTGTGGGTGTGGGTGTGTGTGTGTGTGGGTGGGAGCGTGGGGCTGCTTGTACTAGTCCGGACTGATGCCGATTTACAGTGCTAGCCCACTGAGATACCATGCCGCAGTTTAACATGAATACCCCACTCAGACACAGTATACTGACTCCGAGCCAACCAGTCCTTGTTTTAGACCCTTAATGCCGAGTGCCAGACAGGGTAACAACAAGTACCATCTTTTAACGTCTTTTGGTATGACGCGGTCAGGAATCCAACCCCGGACCTTCCGCTCTCCAGGCAGACGCTCTACCACAAGACCACGGAGGTGGTCCGTGTGGCAATAAACAACAAACAGACCGAACTCATCGGCAATATGGTCTGCTAAAGCATTGCCTTTTACAATGTCTGCTTAATGGTTAAAGTGACAGTCCACCGAGATGGGGGAAATTTGACAGATCTTCCTTAATGTTTCTTGTCTTGGGTTAATTTCGAACCCGGTGTTTATTTTTTCTCTTTAAACTACTAATTTTAGATCTAAGTTCTCCCAAATATTTCTCATTGCCTCAATTTGGGGCTGGCATTTCTGGTGTTGCTCATGATATCAACCATTGGTTTGTCTGTCCCTAACTCATTTTTTCAGCTGTTGCGATGTTGCTGAAATATTGCGTGTTGCAGCGTTAGATAATGTTCACCCTCTTATTTGTAGAACTTTCCCTGACTGATGTATGATATTTCTGTTAGTCCTGAGTCCGGGGGACATCGCACAATGCTGGACTCCCTCTCACAGCTAAAGTCAGCACTAGACAGGACGGACAGGCAGTCGGTTAAATCCACTGATACCAGGACACAAACAAGGGAGACAACTGCAGAGAAAGGATATGTGCTACAGAGGTGAGACTCTTGTTTGGGTTCTGGGCAATTTTTCACTCAAAGCAGTAAGTTTGATACTGCTTTGAACAGCTTGTTAGTTGTTAAATGCTCTACTCAGAAATAGGCCAGCTATACGACGGCGGTCTGTAAGTAATCAAGTCAGGACCAGACAATCCAGTGATTGACATCATGAAAAGTCATCTGCACAGTTAGGATACAACAGCATGCTTCAACCAAGTAACCAAGTCAGGGACCTCCTCTGTGGGTAGAGCGTCTGTCCAGAGAACAAAGGTTGGGGGTAAGATCTCCGGCCGTGTCATACCAAGAAACGTTAAAAGATGGTACTTGTTGTTACCCTGCCTGGTGCTGGGCATTAAGGGGCTAAAAGAAGGGCTGGTCGGCTCAGAATTCATAAACTCTGTCTGAATGGGCATTAGTCTGAACTGGTACTAGCAGCCACACATACACAGACACACTGGCTGTGAGGCTGAAAGCTTTAGAAATCTGAGTTTGTTCATGTATAATTTTCTATGTGTTTGTAACTTGTGACAGTTATCCCTTGTTTCATAATAATACTTATCAGCACAAGGAGCTCATATGTTTAAACTGTGATTTCTAAGTGTGCCCCTGAGGGATAGGGAACTCATCTTAACCATGCCATTGACCGTTAAAGACTTAAAGCAGTGAGAGTCTTCACCTGTGTTCACTTAGCTGCCCATACAACCTTGTCACATTGTTTGTAAATGTTAGTTTTTGGTCATGAGTGTCATATGGATAAGATTCTAAACAATATGGGTAACTCATTTTTAGATCTTATTAAAATCAGATCTAAGTTCCCGCTACCGCTACATAAAGTTCTAGGGACATCCCATTACGGGTCACATCAGAACGACCTGTCGCTAACTTTGACCAACCAATGAAATGACCAACAAGAAGTCGACATTAGCCAATCAGAAAGTACCTTTTGCTTGCTTTACAGCACTGGCATCAAATTGGCGATTTCTTTTCCACATTACACTTTGAAAAATATCCATTCAAAATTTGAAAACTAAACGAACAAAAGAAAATTCTAGAATGTCTAATAGGTGACAGGGATTGTATGGCAGGACTACCCATCGGGCCATGGAAGATTAAATAGTTTAAATTTTTAAATAGTTTTCCTATTGATGGAAGAGATATTCGATGATTTTGACGGAATCAGCCTGTAACTTTCGTTTGGAATATCAGTGTTAACCATGTCGAGGTTTCATAATTAGAAAACACATTTAATTGTAACTTTTCTGATCTGGTCAGTGACGATTTCGGATGAAAGGTCTTTCTTTCATGACCTGTAATTGGTGGTGGAGAGAACGAAGATCTGCTTTTAATGAGATTTGTAGTTTTTGACTGATCACGCAAAATAGTGGTTGGACTTGAACTGTAAGTTCTTTTAGCCTCTAGTCCGTAGGCCAGAGTCTGGTACAACAGCCTGCCAGACTAGTGTCATCTCTTGTGGAAGATCAACTGGTCTAGTAATGTCTTTCTCACATGAATCTGTTGTCTAACAGTTAAAACTAAAGCATTCTGTTCAGCATTTGCTGCACCACACATTAAACACGTCATTGAAACGGAATACTAGTACTGTAAATCGTGAAATTAATGCGTCTCAAAAAAAGATGCGACCACTGTCCCCTAGCCAATAATGCGACTCAATATGAATGCGACACCCCTCTCCTCTCAAGCATCAGTGGATTTATTCCTTTAGAAAATGTCCTCTGTCAGGTTTACAGGAGAATCCTCACCTTAATCCAACCTTACAGTAATCCAATAACACACCAAATAGCACCGCATTTTAGCGCTGAGTAGAGTACTTCCGCTAAAGCAATACATGTGCACTGGCTCGTGCCGGCCTTTGACGTAGTCGCAAAGAACAAAGACACTGTGTTGCGTGGGTAGAGTCTGTCTGGACTTGCAGGTGGACATAAGTTAGTAGAACTCTTGTCTTGACCCCAGCAGTGACAACTCAAAGGATGTAATTAGTGTTTGAATGACATTGTTTATATACTTGTTACCAGTGCTGCTCAATAAACAGTGATATGGAATACATACAGCGTTAGAAATTGGCACTAGTCCTGTAGTCCTTGCCAAACTGGCCAATAGTTATGGTATTTTTAAGGGTTTTGCTGTGTGTTATCATTATAAGGACTAGTGGACTAAATATGTTAGTTTCTACCCCTGATATAGTTGTTTGTTTTCAGCGTATGTCTAAGTTGGTATTTCTGCTATCCAAAATGTCTTATTGTTGATATAAATGCAATGTTTAATAATGCGAGCAAAGACCCCTCGCATTTTTCGCATTTAATTCACGTTCACGTTAATTTCAAGATTTACAGTATTTGTAACTTAATGCAAACTTTTATCATGCCACTGTACAATTCAGAGGTACTGAAAACGTATTGCTATATGATATTTACAACCTTTCACATGATTTACCTTGTGTCTTCTGTGATACGAAGTATTAGAAACTAACTGTTAAAAATAGAAGTGGTATAGTCCACTATTCCTTAAGATGATAGCATAGAGCAAAACCCTTAAAAAGGGCACATTTCTACTATTCAGTTTGGCAAGACCTGGGACTCTTGTACAAACGTTTCTTGTCAACTGCTGATGTGTTCTTGGATATTTCAGTCTATATATTTAAAAAGTGTGTTAATGCAAATGAAGTGATGAGATGTAATTCCTAGTTGCATCCCTTCAGCGTATTCACATATTTATGAACAGGTGACAACAAATGAACTTGGTCAATACAAATTTGAAATTTGAGATAAAACATCACTAGACCATGTAGACATGATAATTTACCAATTACCGGTAAATTGTATTTTCCTGTTCTGCTAGGCATTGATTTATATGCAGAGATTGAGATTACCTTGCTTATTGTCTTATAAACTAAGCCGGAAGCAGCAATCACAGCTGTACACATGTTTCTGGAATCTAGCTGTGATTCTTTTAAAAAGTACCCAATAACTTCAAAGAATTTTGGTATAATAATCAGAAGAAATGCATCTGAAACTATTATTTTATCAGGAATTTTATATTCCAATGTCATGTTATTTTATTTTCAACTGTACTATATATTTTTTTAATAAATTAATAACTATAAGTGTAGCCCTTTGGTACAGCTGATTGCTATTGCCGAATATTTGTACTAGAAGTTGACAAGAAACCTTTGCAGTCAGTACGGGAAGACAAAGCCATAAATAGACATGGGAAGTTTCACTCTCCTACCCTTTCAAAATTATTTTTTTGGGAAATAGGATCAAAAGCACCTTGAAATAAAATGAACTAATTTTAGATCAAACTAATGGAGTGACTCCATATTAATGATCTTCGATTCTTTCAGCTACATTGATCGGTTTCGGTATGGAGTTCCAATGAGTCGTGCGGAGCGATCACAGAAAGAGGATTCCAACAGGCCAGATTTCTGGTGGCTAGCTCATAGCCCACCCACACCCAGCGACACCTCCACCCCCAAGGACGACCTCCACCCCAGGAGCAGGCAGTTCACAGACCAGGGGGAGAAAGGAGGGGTAAGCTCTGTCAGGACACATGTGAGGGGGCCATATTACTGCTGAAGTCTGCGGCCAAAAATATCAAAATTCTGCTTCTGCATTCTCTTGAGCTATTTTGCTTTTGTGAAATAGGTACATTTCTGCATTAATAGGACAATTCCGCAAAATATTCTGGGACCGCTTGTTGAGAGTAAAGTCAAGGGGAGGTAACTTGGGTTACGCCAGACAAAATTATTTCCCCTTATGCCATTGTTTATGATTTTGTCTTGTCATAGGAAACATTTGTGTAATTGGTATTAATCTACCTTAATATGGTGTAAAATTTATTGTTGACCATTAATGTAAATACAGGGTTTAAAATTTGTTTGGGGGAGTGCAGATGGCATGGGTAAAATCAAAATGGCACAGTTATAACAATGTCTACCCCTTCCCCCACAAAGGTAGGGGAGACATTGTTTTTGACCCGTTGGCATGGAGTCAGCATCAGTGTTCTTATCCTATTCAGAGAAGGTCTCAGACAACTCTAGGCTTTGTTTCCAGGCCATAAATCTCCCACTAATAAATATTTTTGCATTGAACTGTACATATGCTCAATTATTGCTTTTTCAGTTTTCCATTTTTCATTTTTTTAATTTGTCATGTTTCCATGGAAGCAAGTCTCAAACAAGTAGCGCTTGTTTCCCACCAAAACCCCTCTGTTAAAGAATATTTCTGCTTGAAACCATTATCTTTCTAGGCTGTAATTTTCTATTATTGTTTTTAGGATTTGCAAATACATTCCCAGTAACAACTTGAACTCATGTATCACAAAAAGGGAGAGAGACACCTATGTTTGTCAGTAAAGCACATTCTAGTTAGTTCAATGTAGCTGATGGACACACCTAAATATTATGTATTTTATCTTGTGATGAAGTATATAATACAAATCCAGTGATAAATGTTCTTTCACAAAAATAATCTGGACAAACTTGTAAAATGAACATTAGAAATGCTGTGACAATAAAATGAATTTGGGGATTCAGAAATTGAATCAGACGTTATTATTCTCAGATATTGGAATCTGAGAAGGGAGGCAACAACTTTCTTCATACATCTTTCTGTCATGAGCTTGTGCTGAAATTACATTCACAAAAAAATACATTTCCATCTCTGAAATAAGAAAACGCCCAGACTGAAAAATCATATCCTCTTTCTAAAATACCTGTACATGAGATTTTTCTCCAAATGTTGTAGATTGTTGGATCATTTGACTGGTACTAGTGTTTTAATTCTAGCTTTATTTGTAATGTGAGATTATAGCTCAAGTTAGTGCTTGTTTAAAATAATCCTGTTTTGGTAGTTTGAACTGGAATAGAATCTCTAAAGTGTACAAGTGTTGTTCTCTAGCCTACAAGGAGAGATCACACCGGGAGCGTGATGACGCTGCAGGGACTGTCGGAGCCAGCACTAGATGATGTCACGCGGAGGCTTCAGGAGCGAGCGGCCAGGCTGCTAGAAGAGAGGTCAGTGTGTCAGTTAAAAGCTGTCGCCATCTGAAGGACCGTCCGTGTGAAGTTTGTCAGTATCTCATTGCCATGTTTTTCTTGCTATCGCATGATACTGTTTAGTATTTGTTAAAGTATTGACTCGTCATCCAAAGAGCCTGGTCGGGATTCTGGTTTATAAGTCCCCAAGAACCTATGCTTGTTGTTTGAAACCATAAAATGGATGTGTGGTCAGACTCAGTGACTTGTTGACTGTGTGTCATCATACCCCGATAATGAGTGTCGATTCTCATAATTTCAATTACTGGTTTGTCTGGTCCAAACCCAATTATTTATAGCCAGCCATCATATAACTGGAAAAAGTTTCCTTTGTCCTGTGTTGCAATGACCAGTGTCCTATGTCCTGTAGGGCTGGCTATTTATATAGATTGTGGAGACTATATATTGATCAATTCTAGATAAATATCGGAAAAGTAAATTTAAGCAAATATGCAATAAAGTCCTAAAGGAAATCAATATATTTCACACCACTGGTGAGCAGTGACACATTTACTCAGGGATTACATTGTGGACATTGGAGATATAACAAAAATAGTTGCTTTCCGTCTTTGACAATTGACCTTGTTGACAATAACAAGTTTGTTTTGGTTAATCTAAACTTTTTTCATCACAATAATTTATGTAAGTTATTATCGATGACAACAATTTCATATTGATAAATCTTAATATTTCTTCCCATCAACAATATTTCTGAATATAGATCTTTTTAGCCAGTGCTAATGTCCTGTGCCCCGTGTCCCGTGTCCTGCAGTGTCCCGTGTCCCATGTCCCGTGACCTGCAGTGTCCTGTGTCCCGTGTCCTGTGTCCCGTGTCCTGTGTCCCGTGTCCAGTGTCCTGCAGTGTTCAGTGTCCTGCAGTGTTCAGTATCCTGCAGTGTTCAGTGTCCTGCAGTGTCTAGTGTCCTGCAGTGTCCCGTGTCCTGTGTCCTGTGTCCCGTGTCCAGTGTCCTGCAGTGTCCTGTGTCCTGTGTCCAGTGTCCTGCAGTGTCCTGTGTCCTGCAGTGTCCAGTGTCCTGCAGTGTCCTGTGTCCTGCAGTGTCCCGTGTCCTGCAGTGTCCAGTGTCCAGTGTCCTGTGTCCTGTGTCCCGTGTCCAGTGTCCTGCAGTGTCCCGTGTCCTGCAGTGTCCCGTGTCCTGCAGTGTCCAGTGTCCTGCAGTGTCCCGTGTCCTGCAGTGTCCCGTGTCCTGCAGTGTCCCGTGTCCTGTGTCCTGCAGTGTCCAGTGTCCTGCAGTGTCCCGTGTCCTGCAGTGTCCAGTGTCCTGCAGTGTCCAGTGTCCCGTGTCCTGTGTCCAGTGTCCTGCAGTGTCCAGTGTCCTGCAGTGTCCCGTGTCCTGCAGTGTCCAGTGTCCTGTGTCCAGTGTCCTGCAGTGTCCCGTGTCCTGCAGTGTCCCGTGTCCTGCAGTGTCCAGTGTCCTGCAGTGTCCAGTGTCCAGTGTCCTGCAGTGTCCAGTGTCCCGTGTCCTGTGTCCAGTGTCCTGCAGTGTCCAGTGTCCAGTGTCCTGCAGTGTCCAGTGTCCAGTGTCCTGCAGTGTCCAGTGTCCCGTGTCCTGTGTCCAGTGTCCTGCAGTGTCCAGTGTCCTGCAGTGTCCCGTGTCCTGCAGTGTCCCGTGTCCTGTGTCCAGTGTCCTTCAGTGTCCCGTGTCCTGCAGTGTCCCGTGTCCTGCAGTGTCCAGTGTCCTGCAGTGTCCCGTGTCCTGCAGTGTCCCGTGTCCTGCAGTGTCCAGTGTCCAGTGTCCTGCAGTGTCCAGTGTCCCATGTCCTGTGTCCTGCAGTGTCCTGCAGTGTCCAGTGTCCTGCGTCCCGTGTCCTGCGTCCCGTGTCATGTGTCCTGTGTCATGCGTCCTGTGTCCAATGTCCTGTGTCATGTGTCCTGTGATTTGTTCTAGTGGGAGCAGCCTCCATTCCTCAGAGCCGGCAGTCAGCACTGATGGCCTCGGAACAACAAGTGGCACCATGGGCAGCAGCTTTGAGGAGATGCCGTACCGCCCGATGTTCACACGATTACATGGTGAGGGAGACAGTCTGACTAATGCTGATTTACATCTCTTGTGGCATATCAGAATTTATTAATTGCACACAGCATTCAATTACTACGCTATTATTTGAATTGTTTGTATTTCATGTAAATATAACTACTGTGATGGCCAGGTCCAGCGCTAACAGAACCAAACAAGAAGAAGAAGAGTTTGACATTCTTCTAATGAATGTAAAAATACTCCTGAAAAGCAAACTTTTGAACAAAATAACACTTTTTCCCAACTTACCTCAACTCATATCTTGCTCACTCACTCACTCCCTGCACTCATTTGGTATGACAAATTAAGTCATCAATTTGTTATACAAAATTTGTGCCTGAAGTTTATGTCATAAGGAGACAGGTCAGGACATTAATATAGTATGTTCTTATCAGTGTTGAGTGCCTGTTGGTGTAGGTTGAGGCCCTGATGGTGTAGGTCAAGGCCCTGGTGGTGTAGGTCGAGGTCCTGGTGGTGTAGGTTGAGGTCCTGGTGGTATAGGTTGAGGCCCTGGTGGTGTAGGTTGAGGTCCTGGTGACGTAGGTCAAGGCCCTGGTGGTGTAGGTCGAGGTCCTGGTGGTGTAGGTCGAGGTCCTGGTGGTGTAGGTCGAGGTCCTGGTGGTATAGGTCGAGGCCCTGGTGGTGTAGGTTGAGGTCCTGGTAGTGTAGGTTGAGGCCTTGGTCGTGTAGGTTGAGGCCTTGGTGGTGTAGGTTGAGGTCCTGGTGGTGTAGGTTGAGGCCCTGTTGGTGTTGGTTGAGGTCCTGGTGGTGTAGGTTGAGGCCCTGTTGGTGCAGGTTGAGGTCCTGGTGGTGTAGGTTGAGGTCCTGGTGGTGTAGGTTGAGGTCCTGGTGGTGTAGGTTGAGGTTCTGGTGGTGTAGGTTAAGGTCCTGGTGGTGTAGGTCGAGGCCCTGGTGGTGTAGGTTGAGTTTCTGGTGGTGTAGGTTGAGGTCCCGGTGGTGTAGGTTGAGGTTCTGGTGGTGTAGGTTGAGGTTCTGGTGGTGTAGGTTGAGGTCCTGGTGGTGTAGGTTGAGGCCTTGGTGGTGTAGGTTGAGGTCCTGGTGGTGTAGGTTGAGGTCCTGGTGGTGTAGGTTGAGGCCTTGGTGGTGTAGGTTGATGTCCTGGTGGTGTAGGTTGAGATCCCGGTGGTGTAGGTTGAGGTTCTGGTGGTGGAGGTTGAGTTTCTGGTGGTGTAGGTTGAGGTTCTGGTGGTGTAGGTTGAGGCCTTGGTGGTGTAGGTTGAGGTCCTGGTGGTTTAGGTTGAGGTCCTGGTGGTGTAGGTTGAGGTCCTGGTGGTGTCGGTTGAGGTCTTGGTGGTGTGGGTTGAGGTCCTGGTGGGGTAGGTTGAGGTTCTGGTGGTGTAGGTTGAGGTTCTGGTGGTGTCAGTTGAGGTCCTGATGGTGTGGGTTTAGGTTATGGTGGTGTAGGTTGAGACCCTGGTGGTGTAGATTGATGTCCTGGTGGTGTAGGTTGAGGTTCTAGGGGTGTAGGTTGAGGCCCTGGTGGTGTAGGTTGAGGTCCTGGTGGTGTAGGTTGAGGCCTTGATGGTGTAGGTTGAGGTCCTGGTGGTGTAGGTTGAGGTCCTGGTGGTGTAGGTTGAGGTCCTGGTGGTGTAGGTTGAGGTCCTGGTGGTGTAGGTGAGGTTCTGGTGGTGTAGGTTGAGGACCTGGTGGGGTAGGTTGAGGTCCTGGTGGTGTAAGTTGAGGTCCTGGTGGTGTAGGTTGAGGTTCTGGTGGTGTAGGTTGATGTCCTGGTGGTGTAGGTTGATGTCCTGGTGGTGTAGGTTGAGGTTCTGGTGGTGTAGGTTGAGGTCTCGAGGCCCTGATGGAGCAGTTTCTGCCTGTTAGAATTGGTCCCCAGCATCTGTCACTGGTTGTATGAGGTGACCACATGTTAACGTCCTGACTCGATCACTTACAGGCTGTCTTCATATAGCTGGAATATTGCTGAGTGCGGTGTTCTCTTCACACAGCATATTTCACATCAATGTGTTTTATTCATTTTAAAATTATTCAATGATGTTGCCAGATCCAATAGGTCGACCGGATGTACGTTCTGCCCCCATAAAGCTACAGCGACCTTCCAGACCAGAGGAGGATATTCTGTACCAGTGGAGACTGAGACGGAAAATGGAGACTGCTCAACAAGGTCATCCAGGATTAGGGGTCAAGGTCACAGGGTCAAACAAGGTCAGTAAATATTTCACACTTGCTAAAACTGGAGAAAATGCAAATGTTGAGAAGCATTAGGTTAATAAAATTAAGTAACACCAAGGTTATATTGTTTCAATATATTGAATTAAACAGAATTGTTTTCGAATGGGAATATTGATCAGGTAGATGAAGAAATAAAAGTTTGTCATGTGTCGGAAAACAAAATCACATAAAAATATGCTCAGTCAACAGTGTACTATAAAGTGTCCAATGTTCTGCTGAGGCAGTGGCCTCGCGGGATTGTCACAATGTTTTATTGATTGGCGCATGATATATACTCTCAGGGGGACAAGTGAGTGAGTGAGGTAATGCTTTACGTCACATCGGCAATATTTCAGCCATATCGCGACGAGTCAGGGGGACAAGGGTGCATTTGTGTAGTTGGGTTTGTTTTATATAATAATGGGAGTCATTTACTGTCTCAAAAACAGTTTACATCACAGGACAGCTGCTTCTATATGTAAACATTGGGATTTTCGTTGCTTTATGTGACTCAATTTACTATCAGCGCCTTTCATTGGTTTAAAGTCACAAATGTCCAATCAGAATCAAGTTTACACACATCTGCAAATATGGCAGTCATAGTCCTGATAATGTCTAAAATGTTATTGCTTCAAATGACCGCGGTAACACATGTCGCATGGCTCACCTGAGAGTGACCGTGGCGACACACTGAGGAAACGGCAGCATTACGGCAGCATAACTCTAGAAGAAATACTACGACATGTCATCTTTGTATAATGCATGTGAAATCTAATTCAATAACAAAGCGACATTCTAATTTTATAATGAGTACATTCAAGAGACTAACGGCAGTGATCACAAACAAACTATTGAGGCTAATAAAGATGTGACATTGGATGTTGTTGCTGCAATATGTTATATCTAAGAAAGATGCCTTGCTAAATTCTGTGTATCATTGATGTTACTTGTGGACGGCGATTCTGCATCAATAACCTGCATACCATAGGAGTTTAATTTTTACTATGTTCTCTCAGAGTGTGGCCCCAAACGTTTTGAAAATGACCCCATGTATTTATGCTGAAGGGGTCCCTGTCCCCACTCATTCAGTTTCTTGGCAATCTCATTAATTCAGATCTTAGTTCTCGCTACCGCTAAACAAAGATCTGAGGACATCCCATTACGGGTCACGTAATCTGATCTTTATCAGTGGCATTTTTTCAGGATATCGACAGTAAGCTTGACGCCTTCCGGCGACGTCTGACAGGTGCTGTTGATCCAGATCCTATGACAGCCAGGGAGACCATCTCCAGAGAGACCTCCCCCAGACAGACCACCCCCAGTCATACTGCCTCATCCGTCCACTTCACTCCTGCGCCTTCAACAGACAAGGTGAGCTGCTTATCACCGGTGGTTTCCGTTTGTTTGATTAAGGACACGTGCATACACATCTCTACATACAGTAAACTACAGTTACAATGAGCTCAAAGGGACCCCTAATTTTAGTTTGTTAGATCTGTTTAGTATACACATTTCGACCGTCAGACATCTTTTATCGAGTCATGTGACATCATGTTACTCGATAAATAACAAAAGTTTGCACTGTACATGTACACAATATATCCACTTCAATCATTGTGATTCTATTGTTAGTTGAGGGTGTAATTTGAGGATAAGGTGTCAGTGCTTAAGCGTAAATCAATTGCCTTCAATTGTTTATTGAGGCTTAAAAAAGCTGCGCCTGGCCGCGGATGTTTTGATGGCAGATTGGTGACACGTGAGGAGTTCAGCTCAGGGATTACCAGTTCGTTATACGCTTAAACATTATCGTTGACATAGTGCCCACAAAACCACAAGGTGATTTCGCTATATCCGTTATTTCGTTATGAGTGTGTTCGTTATATCCATCTTTATATGATAAAATATATGGCAAATGACTCTGACAAAAAGAACAGTTCGTTACATCCGTCAGTTCGTTATAAGCGTGTTCGTTATGAACGTAGATTACTGTATGTGCAATAATGTTGAACGTGATGTTACACCCCGCCTCACCTACATTACCATATGGTCGTGTCACACAGTGTACAGTGTACATGTTGTTGTTGTTTGAACGAGGAAATGCTTCTCCTCAACAGGTGGATGCACAAGTTCAGACCAGAAAATCCTTAGAAGCAGGCCCGCCTGAAAAGACATCCGTGCATACGCCTCCAAAACAAAAACCGTCTTCCAGCAAGCCTGAGATTGCAAGCCCAACACTACATCGACACAAACATTCCGGGATGAAAACAGACCCTCATCTTCATCTCATGTGTGACCTCCTGCCTTGCCCTCATGCACAGAAATATTCCAGAAACCACCCCGAACTTTACAAACAATCCAGTGAGTTTTCAGAATCTGAGGAAGTGTCCTCGGATCAAGCCGGTGTTCAATATAAACAGTTCTTACAAGCTGAGAAGCCGCATAGTGAAGAAAAACGACTAAGACGCAAACATGATTCAGACAGGACAAGAGATAAAGATGAAGAAGTGGATGAAGATGATGATGTAGGATCTGGTGAGGAGGAGCAGGTGAATATTCAGGTTTCGGATGGGTTAGATTTATCTGAAAGTGATGGGCCAAGTCCAAGAAGACAGTGTAAAGGGAGACAACTTCGGTCGTGTAATAATGAAAAGGGAGGTTACTATGCTGTTGAGGGAAGACAATTGGGGAAACATTTGCAGCACAGACAGAGTAAGAACAGAGAGATAGTGGGAAGAGATGAGCATGAGAGAGGTGTGGAGAGAAGCTCAAGAGAAGGACCATCTCAGAATGTTCAAGGTGTCACAGATTCCAGAGGGAAGGCCGAGACGAAGCGAGTCATGTCTGGTACAGCTGGTGTCCTTCCCCGACCAGCCCACTCAAGCAGCCCTGCTAGAAAACCACAGTCACTGTCCTCAGCTATTGGTCAGGTAAGGCTTGCTTAGAAAAAGCTATTGTTGTAGCATCTTTACCTTGTCAGCTGCTGTGGTTACAGAGCGACAATGTTCCACAGTCCATTGTTCATGATGTGAAACTGCAACACTGTCTGTGTAAATAGCTAATCATTTTGGAGATAAATCTATTGTGTTTTTAATTGGACCCAAACGCTTTTGCAGATTCATGTACATGATCAAGGCGATCGTTAGATTGATGTCTTTATGTCAGAATAATCACAGACATTATTATTTAAAGACGGCTGGAATATTGATAAGTGCAGGTTAAACAATGAATAACCTAATCTGTAAAACTGTGTTTGGACCAAGAATTTCAAGGACTTGTTTATGTGATGATATATTATATAATTTCTACTATCCGCCTACAGACTGTGTCAGAGCATTTGTTCGAGGGCTCGGCCAGCTGTGTGCTGTCCAGTGTAGACTCCTGGGCTTCAGCCACTGACCAGTCGCAGACACCGTCCATGTCTGCTGCCCAACGCAGGTCACAAGCTCCGCTACAGTCTGCTGACCCACAGAGGTCAGAAGTTCCGCCAACATATACCCCGCCTAGTTTGGAAGCTCTGTCCAAACCAACGACACAAGATGAAGGTCAGACAGAGGTCAAGGTTCCAGTTACAGCCAATCAAGAAGACACAAGTAAGATTCAAAATGTTCAACATCATTTGTGGAATTTTGCACAATCATTTTGATTACATTACAGTGTCTATTAAGCTGTTTTCACTCGTCACGCCAAAGTTTGTTTGTTTCTTTCTTTCTTTGACGCCACACTCGGCAGTATGCCAGCTATATGATGTCGGTCTGAAAATAATCTGGGCCAGACAATCCAGTGATTGACATCATTAGCATCAATCTATGCATTTGGGATCAGTCACATGCAACTAACGGGATCGGGTGGTCAGGCTCGCTGACTTGGTTGATGAATGTCATCCCATCCCAATTGCGTGGATCGAGGTTCATGATATCAATGACTGGATTGTCTGGTCCAGACTCGTTTATTTACAGATTGCCGTCATATTGCTGGAATATTGCTTATCTACTAATCTGTAACCATGGTAACTACATCAGCCATCATGTCTACATTGCTACAAACACCCGAGTGCCTCCGTGGTGTGGATCATATTTACAGACCGACTTCATGTAGCTGGAATATTTCAATAGTGCGGTGACAAACAACAAACCAACCAACCAATTCATACAAACTTTTTACCCTTACACCGCCTGATACAAACGTGAGCGAATCTTGTTTTTTGACTGATGTGGAGTCTATTTATGGTGTTGCATCTCTCCAATCGAGACACTCCTCCTGTATAAACGGAAGTAGCTCTGGTCAAAATTGAAACTAAGCGATACAATTAACAGCAGAGTTTCATAATCTCATAGCTGTATGGACTATAGGTTCAATACTGTCAAATATTTTCATGGGGAATCCTTTCTATATCCTCCTTTTGGGAAAGAGTGTTCCTACTTTTGTGTTTTTATTGTTTTTAGATGAAGTGTACGAGTCTGATGGTGACTACCCTGATGACCATATACTGAAGATGCTTCGGCAGCAGAGAGCGGAGTACGAGATCAAACTCAGGTAGCCTCACTTCTAAAATGTGCATATGAACAAAGTTAAACACTCGGCCACTCGTCTGTAGCTAGTGGAACATTGTTTCTTCCTTCTTGTCAAAGATAAGCGAGAACATGTGGTTTATAAAGGCTTTATTCAATGGAGCGTGTAGAATGGGATGCTGAGTTCCCTACTTGGTCTCTCTGCCCTAAAACATACATACAGTCAAGTCTCGTTAATCCGACACTCGATAATCCGACAATCGGCTTTATCCGACACTAATTATGGGAACCGATTAAATCAGTGCTATTTAGACCCGTTAAACCGACAGTCTCGCACTCCAACTCCGACACACCTTATATGCAACGAATTACCGAAATCACTCATTAATCAATCTTGTTAATCCGACACAGTGATCAGCGTACTCCGTGGTCATCTCCCCGCGAGTACACAGCCCTGTGTTTTGATGCAAGACGAGTCGGCTGGAAGCTGCATATTACAACAGCTGCAGAGATAAACCTGCTTGACAATAAACAATTAATGCTTTAAATAAAGAAAACAGGATTATTCACATGCTTAGATGACCTCAATCTTATTAAGATCAGATACAAGTTCTATCACCGAGGACATCCCATTACAGGTCACGTCAGAACAACCTTTCGCAAACTATGACTACCAATGAAATTACCAACAGGAAGTCGACGTTAGCCACTTAGAAAGGAGCTTTCTTAAGCTTTGGGTACCAGTTTCAAAGTTGAAACTTCCATTCCAGACTATGCTTTTTAAGGTATTTTGAATCGGTCATACAGTCCGTAACAGTTGTTTTGTGTTAAACTTTAGAGGTTGCATGATTAGAAAACATATTCCGCCAACAATGTAACATAACAATATGAATATATATTTTATATTTTTTATTACGTATTTGAATCCTTATCTATCGTGTAGTTGTCCGATTTTCGATCACGAACGTTGATACTACTAAATTTCCTTTATCCGACATACTCATTAATCCGACATTATCATATGCAACCATCAATGTCGGATTAACGGGACTTGACTGTAATTGATTAATTTACAATGTCCTTCAAAGCACAAGACCTCACTTCAACATGATCGGCATTTCTGGTGTCCCCCGCCGTGATATTGCTGGAATATTGCTAAAAGCGGCGTAAAACCAAACTCACCCACTCACTCACTCAACATGATCGGTACGAAGACTTTACAGTACGAGTGATACACTTGGATCATCCTTATTGGAACAAATCCCTCCAGATAAAACATATTAGACATATGGAGTTAATCATCCACTATTTACAAAGCATAAAAATAATACCTCATCTCTGGAATGTTCACAGTCGGAAATGGGGCTGTTGGCTAGCCTAGTGGTTAAAGCATTCTGTCATCACACCGAAAACCCCGGGTTCGATTCTCTGCATGGGTACAATGTGTGAAGCCAATTTATGGTGTCCAACGCCGTGATATGGCTGGAATATTGCTAAAAGCTGTGTAAAACAATACTCACTCCAGTCGGTGATGCAGTCAATAGCACTGAAGAAATAAATATTTCTTGTAGAACCACAGTTGTAATATACTACTCAAAAGAAGTTAAGGATCACCCGATTCTTTCATAATGGAAAAGTTAATCTGTCATGACATGAGAGATTAACTATAGTAATACGAAAGAATCAGGTGATCCTTAACTTCTTTTGAGTAGTATAGAATATATGGAATATTAGCATAAGAAATACTACAAGGAAGGACTACAGTCAAATTTGCTGGGACTACGCGCATGGCCACCCTTTAACCACTTTACCCCTGTGAAGATGCGGGTTAGAATTGGTCTTCAGCATCCCATGCTTATCATAAGAGGCGACGAACGGGATCGGGTGATCAGTCTTGCTGACATATTAGGCCTTTAGAGTAAATCATGCACTATTTTCAAAACGTAAATATAATACCTCGCCTCTAGGATCTATCCATTCAGTGATGCAGTAAATAGCACTGAACAAATATTTATTTGTTTGTTTGCTGTTGAATGCCACACTCAGCAATATTCCAGCTATATGACGGAACACAGTTCAGGAAGTTTTCACTACCTTTCAGAAATGAGTAGAGATAAGCAATACGTATAAGGTGAGGTGAGGTGAAATTGGGTTTAACGTCGCGTCCAAGATTATTGCACTTATATAGCAACGTGTATGCACGAGTGTGCGTGTGTGGCTGCTTGTACTAGTCCTGACTGATGCTGATTTATAGTGCTAGCTCACTGAGATACCATGCCGCAGTTTAACATGAATACCCCACTCAGACACAGTATACTGACTCCAAATCGACGAGTACATGTTTTAGCCCCTTAATGCCGAGCGCCAGACAGGGTAACAACAAGAACCATCTTTTAATGTCTTTTGGTATGACAAGGCGGGTGATCGAACCCGGACCTTCCGCTCTCCGGGCGGATGCTCTACCACTAGACCACGGAGGCGGTCCGCAATAAGTATAAGTCAGGATAAGCATATATGATATCTTTACCCTAAGAAAAAGACTATCAACCAGAATATAAGTTGTACAGACTATCATAAATAATAGGATAAAAAGATACAGAATTCTGGATTTTGTTCACATAGATTTCAATGTAAGTAAAGCAAGTGATAGATATATTTTATTTGTTTCCAGGTTTAGTTAAGTCCATATGTAAATGGCAATTGACTTTTCGTTTTGGTATTGTAAGATGACTTTCTGAACATACCACAAGGTGGCAACAAATGGACATGGTGCTCCGAGACTGACTTGGTTATAGCTATGTAGTGAGGAAAGAGAATCGCTATGCTTCGTTTGTTGTTTAATGCCATATTGGCAGTATTCCTGCTGTCAGTAATCAAGCCTGGTCCAGACATTCAAGTAATCTATGCATTTGGGATACGGCGACAAGCATCAACCAAGTCCCAAAATCCTGACCACCGATCCCGTTAGTCACCTTTAATGGCAAGCATGGGTTGCTGAAGACCATTCTAACCCAGATGTTCACCTGGGATGCTGTGAAACAAGTGTACAACAAGTAGCTAATCATATTTAAGTATTAGACATTGTGGTGTGATGCAAATAAATTGTCAATTGTAGCTATTGAGATAGAGTGTGTGGCTTCGAATGATCCTGTTTACCACTATGGAAACCGACCCGGGAAGATCCGGGGTAGAATAGGTCATCAGCAACCCATGCTTCCCGTAAAAGGTGACTATGCTTGTCATAAGGGACGACTAACAGGATCGGGTCGTAAGGGTCGCTGACTTGGTTGATGCATGTCATCGATCCCAGTTGCATGGATCGATGCTCATGATATCAATCACTGGATTGTCTGGTCCAGACTCGATTATTTACAAACTGCCATCATATAGGTGGAATATTGCTGAGTGCGGCGTTAAACAACAAAGCAACCAACAACTATAGAAACCTATGATCTTGACCGACCTAGGAATTAAACCCAAGACCAGGGGAGGCTAGCCAACCATGCATCCACACAAAGTTAAACATCAGGTATCACCTTCTGAAGCATAAATATATCTCACCACCTGACTCGGAATATCACAGAAATTGAGATCCAAATTCTTTATTAATGCAATATATTGTGTTTTCTTCTCATTTCAGTCAAATAGATGACCTCCTTCAGCAATCTTCATTTGCCCAGAGGTGAAAGAAGAGACGTGTTTTCCATAATCCGTCCAAGTATATATTCCTCATCCCAGATGACAGAGTAGGCATGGCCAGTCACAGCAGCATGACTGTACACCATCTTGTCAGTATTAGCCTCACACTTGTATGTAGACCTGTGAATAATATGATGTATCTTGCCATTGGTATTCCTGTTTTGATATATATACCGGAGAGCAGTCAATCTCATTATGGGTCACGTCAGAATGACCTTTCATCCGACAAATCAACGCTTACCAGATCATGAAAGTAACAATCAGAATGTGTTTTCTAATCATGCAACCTGAAAAATGTTAACATGGGGTATTCCGAACTACAGCTACGACCAGAAAGACTGAACGACTGATTCTGTCAAAATGATCATCTATCACTTGTGTGGGATAATTATTTGAACGGACGAGGCGTTGCACAGTACGTGGGAAGCACTGCCATACAATCGCAACCATATAAAGTAGACATTCTGGAATGTTTGTTTCCCTCAGTTTTCAAAATTTTAATCAAGAACTGTGTCAACATATTTTTCAAGCGTAGTCTGAAATGGAAGTCGCAAGGTTGAAATGAGTGCTGTAAAGCTCGATGTCTTCTTCTTGTTGGTCGTTTCAGTGGTCGGTCAAAGTTGGCGACAGGTCGTTCTGATGTGACCATAATGGGATGTCCTCAGATATTTGTTTAGCGGCAGTGAGATCTTAGATCTGATTTTATTGAGATTGGAAAGCAGCAGATTCCTGGCTGCTCAAAAAAGACATTGAAGGATGGTACTTGTTGTTACCCTAAAACAAGGACGGGTCCACTCAATGTCAGTATACAGTGTATACAGTTTGTGAACTGGGTATCCATGTTTATCCTTGGCAAGGTATCGCTAACACTCCGCATTGGTCCGCACAACTTCACAAAGACGCTATATACACTAACATCGCCAACTGTTGTCCAAATCTTTCATCCCATCATACTGACAGTAGCGGGTGACCTCGCCTAGATGAACACGACAATCATAACTAAGGAATATTTGCACCTTCAGTAAGAACTGTAAGCAAAAGTCAGTGAGAATTTCAGTTTCATACTATAAATATATCTAATGTTACTCCACATAGTTTAAGGGACACGGGTGGCCCAATCGTCTAAGGCACTGCGATTCGCTGTGCAAAGTTGCGTCCCTTGGGCACGCCAGAAACCTATGATTGTGGGTTCGAATCCCGGTTCGCCCCGATTATGTTTCTATGTTTGTCAGCACCATACCCGTCCTCATGTGTTTCAAGTGGTAAACGTCTGAGACCTGCATCACTTCGGGCTTTCCTCACACATTGAGCTTACAGCCGTGATATAACTGGAGTAATGTTAAAAGCGGGTTTAGACCCAACTCACTCACTCCAGATTGTCTAAACTTACATAAGAAGATAGGTGTGTATGTACCGGACACTGACGAGCAAATGAAACTGGACCAAAATCTTTTGGTTTTAGATTTAGGATTCGAACAGGAAACAATGTAACCGAGTGTAGATATGCAACAGGCACTGGTGCAACTGAAATCCCCAGGTAGATCCTCAGCAACCCATGCTTGCCGTAAAAGGCGACTATGCTTGTCGCAAGAAGCGACTAACGGGATCGGGTGGTCAAGCTCGCTGACTTGGTTGAATCATGTCATCGATCCCAAATGCGTGGATCGATGCTCATGATATCAATCACTGGATTGTTTCATCCAGACTCGATTATTTACAGACCGCCATCATATAACTGGAATATTGCTGAGCGCGGTGTAAAACAACAAATCAACCAACCTTGCTGTGGTTCAGTAAATTCCGGGTAAATGTAACCTAATCACTGAAATTAGAAACGCAGGTGTAGCATGATCACAAAATGCCCGTGGGTAACAGCTCACAACATTCGTCAATGCTTAAGGAATCAACAGTAACATGGCACCATAATGGGCACAAGGGAAAGAACTTGTTGGTATGTTGTTGTAAGTCATGGGTGGAATTGGCTTAGAAGATCTGTGGGCTACTGTCTATGCCCCAAACACTAATCCATATGATGACAGATCACACATATGCTCGTACAGTCCGTACTAATCTGTAACTTCAGCAGCCATCATGTCTACAAACACCCGAGTGCCTCCGTGGTTTGGATCTTATTTACAGACTGCCGTCATATTGCTGGAATATTGCTAATCGACTAATCTGTAACTACAGCAGCCATCATGTCTACATTGCTACAAGCACCTGAGTGCCCCAGTGGTGTGGATCTCACTGGTCTCATGGATGTACACAAAACACTGTTGAATGCCGAATGTACCACCGACTGTGGTAAATAAGGAATCTGTCCACTAGCTCACAGGCATTATGGGTAATATGATGGGGAATGCCTCAAATCAGAAAAGCAATTGCAGGAGATCTCTGGAGATATGGCCGGTGGTGGAGCAATCACGGACAGCACAATCGTCAAATGTGTGCAAGCTGGGCAAGTCTGTACAAACAATAGCTGTCATCAATGGATAAAATGTTCGGAAAGTATTTTCAATGAAAGGGGCTTCAGTTTCTGTTGGTTTCAGTTCCTCCTCGTTTCCTTAAATCTATCATTTCGTTAAGATAATGTAATATAGCAACTAAAACATGGAATGCAGAGATTATACATTCTTCATAAGGTATCACATATTGCATATTTAAAACTGAACTCGTCCTTGAAAGTAATTATGACTAGCAGTTATCCCTTTCTCGTGGGCTGTAAAATTCCTTCTGTTTAGAACCTCATGCCACCATTTACCTATTGAACTAGGTAGGTGTCACAAAATCCCTGTCAATGAACGAACGTGTAAACTCTGAGACATGAGCGATGTTGGTGATGAATTCCATTATATTTTTCTTTGTCCTTTTTTTAAACCCCAACGGAAAATATATGTACCAATTTCATTTGTTAAAAACCCAAATATGTTAAATTTAAAGATTTTTTTAATTGTAAAACATTAAATGTTATAAAGAAACTCTTAACATTCTGTAATGTCATTATGAAAACTATAAAATCTTCCATGTAAACAAACCACCCCGCCATCTTGTGTATATACTGTTTGCAAATTTGTACCTCATATGCCGAGGATCCCAGACTGAGCGTAAATCAAGTTCTGTTCTGTTCTATGCCCCGATGCATTCCAATATGAAAAGTTCACCGGAGAACACAGTCACTTGTCTGACCACCTTTTGGACAAGCAAGGAAGTAGCACAACCAGTGATCTTAAGGCCTTAAGACATTCCTACATTGGCTATAAGTGATGTGAGGACGGGGCGGAGAGATGTTGGGGCGGGGAGACGACAACAACATCATAACAGACAAACAAGAAGTTGTTTCAAGCATGTGTTTTAACTGTTCTTCTGAGATTATTGGGGGTGACCCTGGAAAGGGCCGTTGGAATATTTGGAGGGGATAGTGGCTCCTGAGACGAAGTCGAATTAGTTGGAGAGATTCATTGTAGCGCCGAGTGCAAACATTGAACCCACAATTCTGAGGGGAGACTTGAACCTGGGTCCAATCAGTCGGAGTTTCAGATGTCTCTCTCTTGGGGGATGGTTGTTGCTGTTGCTGTTGCTGTTACGGAGGTATCAACGCCAGTCTGTCCTGGCATTTCAGTGCAGTGACCCCCAAACGTGCGAGTTGTGTCCCGTTTTCGCTGACTGGTGTCACGAAATAAAAAAAGGTAACTTGATTTATTTCATGTATCAATGTACTGCAAAGATTGTATATGTGTGTAAATTGCTTCAAACACGAAATATGAGGCCCATGATTTTGTATAGAGACTGGATATTTTGTCAGCTAAAAAGCAGAAAAACCTGATATCTTTTCAAATAAAAAGTATAAGGCCTAAATAAAAAAAACATGTTGCAACAATGTATTTTTGTGGCTTTTTGCTTCAACAGTCTGAATCATGATTACACATGATTATTCAAAGATCACCCCCCACCCCCATACACCCAGAATATTAATGAGTTTAAATAATTTGTTTTACTGTATTATTATAAAGTTTATTAATTACCGAAATTAGATCATTTGTGTCAATTCCAGAAGGGAATGGCTGTGAAACTAAAAATACATTGAAATCACGTAACACAACTTACTCCACCAACATGCATTAGCTGCATACTGCAATGATCAGCTGATGGCGGAGTATCGACATAACCATGCAGGAAGTGAACATGTGGACGAGACAACATATCGCAGATATTCTACTAAAAAATTGTCTGTTTAATAACTAAACAGCAAACTTACCTGAGCTACTTCTACTTTACGGCATTTGTTTACAGAAACAGCCCAGTCAGGGTCTGATGAGAGTGCTGTCCCTTTAGCCCGTTTCCATATAAGGATCGTACACCACCCGCTTGCGTTTAGTTTCAGAACCAGCAGGTATAATCTCTCGCAGAACACGACAGTAACTCAGCAAGAGTCAATATGCGCAACACAAATGAACGAAGAAGCAACATACAACGAACCCTTCCCACCATCATCGCGAATCTTACAGTTCGTTATCAATGCAATAATTGTTGTCTTCTCAGTCGCGATTTTGGAAAAGACATAATTTAGAGTAATTGTGCTTAGCGTTGTGTTTTGAACAGCGCGGCACAGAACAGAACAATAGGCTGCTCATCTGAGAAGACAGAACCACACACCTGTACCCACACTTATGACGTCATTCCTTTATCAATTGGCACCAATTACGTCATATTGCAAGGGGCATAAGCCATGGTGTGTTTATTATGGAAAGATGTGAAAAATTTGAACCGATTTAATGAATAAAATAAATTAGATATTTGTGTTGTTTTGCCTCTGAAACTACTAAGTAATTATACTTTTCATAAAGAAAAAGTACAAGATAATTAGGTTTATTTTCGTGTGAACTTGCCTTTTATAGCGTCCCTCGCCGTAATATTGATGGAATATTGCGGCATAAAACCATACTCACTCTCTCACTCAAGTACACTGCCCCCTGTCTCTCACTTCAGAAAAGCAATTAATTAAGGGTAATTGTCTAGGGCTACCTGCGCTCCCCGTTTGACACACTTTGACTACAGTTACATACATACACAGATACATCCATATACATTTAATATAGTGGTTTACATATATAATAATAATCCATGCGCATCAAAACATTTTCCAATTA